TACCAACTTGGGGAGGAAAGGGTTTATTTGTCTTACATCTCCCAGGTCGCATGCAGTTCATCAGGGGGCCCAAGGTAGGAACTCAGGGCAGGAACCTGGGGGCAGGAGCTGGAGCACAGGCCATGGAGGAATGCTGCTTACAGGCTTGCTCCCTTGGCCCCTGCTCAGCCTGCTTTCTTATGCAACACAGGCCCACCTGCCCAGGGGTGGCACCACCCACAGTGGGCTGGGCCCTCCCACATCACTCATCAAGAAGATGCCCTTCAGACATGGCCACAGGCCAGTCCAATAGAGGCAATTCCCCGACTGAGGCTCCCTCAACCCCAGGTGTGTCAAGTTGATACTAAAGCTATCCAGCACATAGTCCCCTCAGCAGAGGTGGCTTTGATGGCTTTTGGCTGCAAGGCTTGTACTTTCTACCCCACTGCTGTCCATGGTGCTTATGGGAATGCCTTCCAGTGTCCCTTGGGGGGGGCAGGGGTGCAGGGGGAGGGGGAGGTTGAGCATAGGACAGCTTATGAGGAGTAGCTGGACAGAGGCCCATGGGATGTGTGATGTTGTGTTCTGTTCCTGACAATTCAGCATCTACCTTTGATTCCCACAGGGTATGACACCACTGATGTATGCCTGTGCTGCTGGAGATGAAGCCATGGTCCAGATGTTGATTGATGCTGGGGCAAACTTGGACATCCAGGTAAGAAAACTCTTTCCCCAAGCCTTCACCCAGTGAGTGGCCACCCCAAGGTCTCTAGCGGCCAGGCTAGGTGTGATGTTTTAGACATACACAATAGATATGCCTCACTAGGCTAGAAATGTGCACAAAAAACAAAGCAAAGAGCCATGGCATGGTGACACATGTAATCCTACACTCTGGAGGTTGTGGCAGGAGGATCTCAAGTTTGAGGCTAGCCTGGGGTACATAGGGAAACTCCATCTTAAAAACAAGCCCAGGGACTAGAGAGATGACACCACAATTAAGAGCACTTGCTGCTCTTGCAGAGAGAGGCCCAGGTTCAGTTCTCAGTACCCACATGGCAACTCACAACTGTCTATAACTCCTGTTCCAGGGGACCCAACACCCTCTTCTGACCTATGCAGGCACTGCATGCATGTGGTACACATATGTGCAAATAAGCACATACAGAAAATTTTAAATTAATTAAAATTACAAACAAGCCTAGAAAAAGAGAGATGGGGTGATCAAAGCAAATCCTCCAGATTTGGACAGAGAGGAAGATGAGTGGAGAAAATGGCCATGATTCTGTTTTTATAGCCCTTGTCCTCTTTTACCAGGCTAATCCCCAGCTGTCCCTATGTCTGCCTGCCTCTGGTGTATAAAGTACTACTCTTCTGCCTTCTTTTGCCCAGCATAGACATCACTAATTGAACACCTACTCTTTCCTTTTGGTCATGTCTCCTAGGAGACATTATGAAGCAAATGTAAATAATACTTCAGTTAATTTGACCATCCTTGCAAGGTACCCCCTTACTAAGGTAACTGTATCATCTGCACTAGAATGTCACCTGTCCAGAAAATAGTGATCATATGTTGTGTTTTCCAGGTTCCAAGCAACTCTCCCAGGCACCCCTCCATCCACCCAGACAGCAGGCACTGGACCTCGCTGACGTTTGCAGTGCTACATGGACACATCTCTGTAGTGCAGGTGAGCTCTTTCCAGATGTGAAGATTGTCTCAGCTTCCCAGGTGTGCTGGGCCCTGTGCTTACTCCCAGCCCCCCACAAGGGAGCAGCAGCCTCATCAGAGAGCCAGAGGCACTGCCTCAGGCCTGACTTGCCTCAGAGAAGAGAGTAAGGATACTTGTAGAATTGTGAGGGCAGTAAGGGCACCAGCAACATGCCACTTAACTCCCAGGTCCTCAGGTCACTGAGGTCTGTGGGCCTTCACAGAAATCCATACTAGGGTTGATAGAATGCCCTCCTCCTCTGCAAGAGTCCAAGGCCTCTGAGGGCAGTGCAGTCAGGGTTACTTGTGGCAGTCAGCACAGCCCTAGCCTACAGCCAGGGCTCTGTATGTGGTTGATGCCCAACTAGCAACTACACCAAGCCTGCTTTACAGTTATTGCCCTCCTAGGGATTTGAGCAGAGTTACAGCCTTAGCCCAGGCTGGGCTTGCAGGCTCTGCCCTGGGCTGGCCTGGCCTGGTGCCCAGTTTCATCCAGCAGGCAGGTCTCCACCCCCATTGGGCAGTGGGCACAGCTGGTTTCTGACTGACAAGTCTCCAGCAGATGTAGATTGTCCCTGTGCTCCACACCCTACAGGGGAGCTGTGTGCTCACCTGGGCTTCTCATTCCTGGTCGCCAGGGAGGGGTTGGCAGAGATTTGTGAAGGTGTGTCTTCAAGAGCCTGGGAATGTGCAGAGTGAGCCCCTCCACAGCAGAATACAAGCAGCACCTCTGCCCCAAGGCAGAGCCCTTGGTATCAGTTAACCCCTTCCCATCTGTTCCCTAGACTTGTTGGTATAAGGAGAGGCCACTTGCTCTCCTGGCCAGCCTGTGACATTCCACCTGGCCCCACTCCTTAGCAACCTAAGTAGCTACTGAGCCTCTCCTATGAGGAGCACAAAAGCTGCTGGTCATGAGCCTTCAGTGAGCTGTCATTTAATCTCAGCAATGCTACAAGGCAGGCCTTCCTCCCCATTTTGCGGATGAGAAAGCCTTGGCTCAGGTCACTCACCAGTCATTGACCAGCAGTATATCTCTCACTTTCTAACATCTGCTATGTTCTGCTCATCTGTATGAGTTCTCCAGAAAGTCCCTGATTTGGTACTAATTGGTGGAGAAGTGTTGGAAAGAGAGAGATAGCTCCAAGGTAGTCACAGCTTAGGGGCTTGGGTGTAAGGCCACAGGAATAGAGATGAAGATTCTTGAAATGTAGAATCCTAGCCAGGCATGGTTGCACATGCCTTTAATCCCAGCACTCAGAAGGCAGAGCCGAGCAGATCTCTGTGAGTTCGAGGCCAGCCTGGTCTACATAGTGAGTTCCAGGCCAGCTGGGGCTACAGGGAGACCCTGTCTCAAAAAGACCAAAAAAGAAATAAGAAATGTAGAATCCTGAGGGTAACCAGGTGTTCTGAGCCTACAATTCCTCAACTGCCAGTGTCAGCTATTTCTTGGTCACATGTCTGGAGAGAATTGTGGTGCTGAGTGGTACCTTCTCCCTGTACCTAACAGCTGCTGCTGGATGCTGGTGCCCATGTAGAGGGCTCAGCAGTGAACAGCGGGGAGGACAGCTATGCTGAGACACCCTTGCAGCTGGCATCTGCAGCAGGTAGGTATACCACTACCTTGTCTAACAAGACTTCGCATTGCCATGAGGCTCTGGACTTATCACCAGGCTGCATGCTGCCTTTGGGAACCCTTAAGATTCTCCACCCCACCCAGGCCATTTCATCCACCAGTGTTGTGCTGAACATGGGGTCCAAATGGGATCTGGTAGGGCAGGGAGCCCTTCCCTCTAGAAGACCCAGGCACACTCCTGGTAACAGGACACAGCCACCTTCTCCCTCTCATTTCCCACTCACCTCCACTTCATCATCTCTGTTACATGTTGTGACCATGGACTTGCCCCCACTTATTCCAAGTTTCAGTGCTTGGAGACCCCTTTGCCCTGTCTTGCACCTTGGTATCCCTGCCATCAGCTGCCATCAAACTTAGCCACTTTGCCTTTCAGGGAACTACGAGCTGGTCAGCTTACTGCTGAGCAGGGGTGCTGACCCTCTCCTTAGCATGCTGGAAGCCAATGGCATGGCTTCTTCCCTCCATGAAGACATGAACTGCTTCAGCCACTCAGCCGCCCATGGCCACAGGTACCAGCCCCAGGATGTCTACCCCATGTAACCTGGGATACCGAGTTATGCTACCACAGACCTGAGGGTCCAGTGGCAGCAGAAGAGCTAGGCCTAGTAACCTTTCTTGAAACCAGGGCCTCAGTGTGTGTCAGCCAGAAAGATGTGGCCAGCATGAAGGCCCGAGACTTTGGAGACCTGGAGACACTGGGAAAGCTGCTTAGAGGGCCCCACAGCTGGGTCCTGGCACACTGACACGGCCTGCGTCTCCCATGCTGGAGCAGCTCATCCCTTTCCAGTAGACAGTTACTGCTGTAGCCACTAGGGCCACTTAGGACCGCATTCTTCCTTGAAGTTGGTGGTAGTTCTTCAGGGCCCATGATGGTGTCAGGGTAACCCCAGGGCTCCCATGCAGCACTTGGGCCAGCCATGAAGAGGCTGCTGGCAACTCCAGGAACATATGGCAGACTTGCCAGAGCTATTAGGCAGTACTGAGTGGGGCAAAGAGAAACAAGAAGTTACTAGAGGGCAGGAAAAAGGACAGAAAAGGAAAGCTGGCAGGCAGGATGCTAACTTGCAGTTTGGGGAACAGGGAGCTCTTCTCATCACTAGACTTGCATTTCTGCTGTGTCTCACTCCACAGCACCTGTACCTGAACCATTCTGCAGCCTTTGACCCCATACTTGCTCCATTCAAGCATGGGAGGAGAGCAGCAAGTGACTGCTGGATTTGTTCAGTGTGGGGTAGGCTGCTGAGGAGGAATGGCCATGACCAACCTTGTGTGCATCTGATGCCTCCACATCAGGCTCACACTAGCTGTCACCCTGTCTTAAGGTGGCAAAGCAACTAGGGCTCAGAAATCACATGGCCAGGAACACAGAGCTTATGATTCCTCAATAATACCATGACAGCAGAAGAGTGGGATCCCTGGCTTTTCCATGTGCCCCAAGATGGGGACTGCTGGGAGCACTCAGCTGCCCTGATGCACCGCATTTTGGCCATAGGGCTCTAAAAGGCAGCTCAGATGGAACTGCCCATCCTTTTGGGGAACCTCAGGCCTCCTTTTATTTCATCCCTGGGACTGCAGGAACGTGTTAAGGAAGCTCCTGACTCAGCCACAGCAGGCCAAAGCAGATGTGCTGTCTCTGGAGGAGATCCTGGCCGAGGGGGTAGAGGAAAGCGACACATCGAGTCAGGGTAGCAGCAGCGAGGGGCCTGTGCGGCTGAGCCGGACCCGCACAAAGGCCCTGCAGGAGGCCATGTACTACAGCGCTGAGCACGGCTACGTAGACATCACCATGGAGCTGAGAGCACTGGGTAAGACAGTACAGTTGTGCACATTTGCACAGAAATGCACATGTGGGGCTGGAGAGATGGCTCAGCAGTTAAGAGCAGTGGCTGCTCTTGCAGAGGACCTGGACTCAGTTCTCAGCACCCACATGGCTACTCACAAAAGGCTCTAACTCCATTTCCAGGGGACCCAACACCTTCTGGTCTCCACAGGCATTGCATACATGTGATGTACTTACATACAGGCAAAACACATATACCCATAAAATTTTTTAAATGCACATGTACACACACACACACACACACACACTTCTACACACGTGCACATGAACATAGTCACTCCCCTGATCCTAAAGTCCCAGCCCCAGCCTTGTCTCAGGCCCACCCTCTCTAGTCATAGGGACATGGATTACTCAGAATCTTCCTCACAGAACCCTGAAGATCACAGAGGAGTCAGCATATCCAGTTGCTCAGCCAACATTTTGGTCCTAGGGTCCATGAACTTTTGTGTGTTCCAAATAGGCCAACCAGTTTAACAGACTTGGACCAGATCCTACATTAGCTGCACACCACTTGATCTCTCCAAGTCTCACTTTCTAATTCTCTGTGTTTAGTGCTGATGATCCTCAACTAAGAATGCAATGTTGTCACCTAAAGCACATGACATGGTGCCCACTGTGAGCACCTGTCCATGACAGCAGTATTGCTATTGTGGGGTCAAATAAGCAGCCCTCTGGGCCTAGCCATCAAAACTGAGGCAAGCCTTTGCTGTCAGTGGGGGACATCTCTCCCACCTATAGATAATAAACCCCAGACACATCATTGTATCCCTGGAAAATGCCACTGGGTCTTTTTTAATGCACAATCCAGCTTGGCGGGGGGGGGGGGGGGAATGTGGGGGGGGGGGGGGGGGGGTAAGAGGCTATCATTAATTACCAGGCATATTACTGGTTGTCATGAACTTCACACAGTAGCTTTAAGTTGCTCTGTGGCCCCATTGACTCAGCCCAGAGAACTTGGTAAATACTCATATGCCTCAATGTGCACAGACCTATCACTGAGCTAGATGATGGTACCCCTTCATGATGGGACACAGGAAGGGAACCTTGTGTCCTTGAATGCCCTGAATATTTTCTGGGACCCAATTCTACCTGGTCATTCCTCCAGAATTAATGAGTCCTTCCCAGAAAATAATTCTAGTGGCCAACAACCAGTGGGCTCTCACTTGGATGAAGGCTTTCTTCCATGACATCTGACAGAAGCTGAAGCCTCTGGGCCTTGCCAGCTGGGCCTGGTAGAGTGAATTCAGGCTTCACACACAGGCTCTGCTGAGACACATGAAGCACTCAGTGGTGAGGGAGGGCCTCCAGTGCATCAAAGGAGAGCCCAACACCAAGGAAAGTCTAGGGACTGGGCTTTACTGAGAGGCAAATGACACCTGCCCTTCTCCCTGGCCAGGTGTCCCTTGGAAGCTGCATATCTGGATCGAGTCTCTGCGGACCTCCTTCTCGCAGTCACGGTACTCAGTGGTACAGAGCCTCCTGAGGGACTTCAACTCCATCAAGGAGGAGGAGTATAATGAGGAGCTTGTGACCGAGGGCTTGCAACTCATGTTCGACATCCTCAAGACCAGCAAAGTGAGTAGGGCCCAGCAGCCCTGGCTGAGGTCACAGAGCCCCTGGTTCCAGACCCCGGACAGCCATGTAGACTCATAAGCACAGACATTCCCTCACCCATGGACAGACACAGGCACATGGACAGATACTCACCCCAGTACCCAGACTTGCACTGCCTGGCTGTCCAGGGCGGAGGCCATGGCTATGTCTGGGCTGGAGCCAGGCCAAAACAGCCATTTGGAGAATCACAGATGAAGAGACAGGCCTCTTCGCCCAGCCAGAGCTTTCAAAAACAAAAGGCAGTGGCTGCTCCATTCCTGGCCTGGACTTTGAAACAAGCCTGATGTAGCTATAAACAGCCGCAGAGCGCGAGCTGACGGCCCTTTCCACCTCTCCCCACAGAACGACTCCGTCCTTCAGCAGCTGGCCGCCATCTTCACGCACTGCTATGGCAGCAGCCCCATCCCCAGCATCCCGGAGATCCGGAAGACCCTGCCGGCCAGGCTAGGTGCGGGCCTGACCCCGCTCAGGCTTGTCCCTCTTCCCTCTCTCCCCCTCACTCTGTCCTCCTTTTCTACTTCCAAGTGGAAGGCCCTGGCCTCGGTTTCTCTATCCCTTGCTTTTGTCTTCTGCCCCATTCCTAGCCCCAGCTCTCTTAGAAACACACACTCTGCCACTGTCTCTTCTGTCCACAGACCCTCACTTTCTGAACAACAAGGAGATGTCAGATGTAACTTTCCTGGTGGAGGGAAAGCTGTTTTATGCACACAAAGTCCTACTGGTGACAGCTTCTAACAGGTAGGCAGCCTCACAACAGCCCTGGAGTCAGGGCACTGGGCCGTCCTATTAGATTTGAGGGATGTTGTGAGTTTTCCTGAGATGTGAGCACATATATTCACTCCAGATAGGGCACTAATGACAGACCAAAGAAATGATTGCACCCAAGTCTAGCTTAGTAAACCAGTGAGTTTATTGGGGTTACTTACAGGAGTGAGTAAAGGGTTACTGATAGGAACATAGATGTCTCAAAGGCAAAAGCCCCAGCATGGTGCAAGAAAGCTGCATCCCCAGAGCTCCCTGTGTGACTTGCAGGCAGCTCCACTGGCCAGTCTCTTCTCCCTGGCAGTTATTACTGCTTCTATAACGTGGGGAAGGTCCTTGGGAATTTTATAAATTTCAGGAGCTCCCTGAGAATTGTCAGTTTTATTTACTTCCTGAGCCTTATTTCATTTACTTTGGAAAAGGATAGCTATACAACAAGGTGACCGTGCTGGAGAAAAGTGACCAAGGGGGCCCTACAACTCCTACCTGCCACAAGAGCACCAAGTGTGCTAGACACAGTACAGCCGGAGTGGAACCCCGAGCAAGAGGAAGTTCTGAGGGGTCTTGTTTCTGCTGAACTGCTGTTGCTGCTGATCAGAACACAAGAGTATTCTGGAATTAAAGCCAATGTTCTAACCACAGGCTTCAGGGGAGGGGTGGTGAAGTTGGAATGGGGCTGGGCCCAGCTGTCAGCCTAGGATGATGTAAAATGTCACTTGCTAAAAGTTATTTGGGGAACGGGGCACTCATTTTTAAAGTGCTCTGTCTACCAGAAGCTGGTCAAATAATAGATGGTGCCACAGCAATAGAACAAGTCACATTCAAGCCCTGTCTTGTCTCCTTGCTCCAGGTTCAAGACATTAATGACCAATAAATCAGAGCAAGATGGGGACAGCAGCAAAACCATCGAGATCAGTGACATGAAGTACCATATCTTTCAGGTGTGTGGGCCTCAAGCTCACCCTCTTCCCAGAAGGAAGTCCTTCTGCACAGCCTCCCTGCTACCCCCTTTGGGCCTTGTCCATCTGAGCTTAGAGAAAGCAGTGAGTCAGTCATGATATTACACTCTGTCCTCTGGATCCTGTGTGAGTTACCAAGTCAGTGGTCACAAGGGAGCCTTCCAGACTTTCCCTGGAGCTAGGGCTTCAGAGCCTGCCTTCATGGTCCAAGCAACCTGCACATAGACATGAAGGATGAACATACGCTAACCATTTGGTGTGTGGGTCCTGGCTCTGGCATGAGCCCAAGAACTTGCTGGAAATGTAGTGGTACAGGCCTCCAGCCTTAGACCCAATATCCTCACAGAATGCCTGGGTGGGCTGTGTACCCAAGGTCATAGGGCAAGGCTGATGCAGGCATCAACCCCAGCCCTACCCTCTATGTAGGAAGAGTGTGAGGAGACCATCCTGCCTATACAGGCCCCAGCTCATGTATGAGGCTGAGCAATGAAAATTTTAGGGTGCATGAAGAGGATCTGGAGTTCTGGCTGTGGTCTTAGCTGAGGTCCTTTCCAGAAAGTGAGACTTGCAGATCTCCAAGTATGTGTGTTAGAGGCAGTCCATGCTCAGGGCTGTGACCGGACAGAGGCCCAGAGGCAGCAGCTGGATGGTGCTAGGCCTTGCCTTATCCTGAAGGGGCTTAAGATCACATGGGAGAGATCACAGAATCACCTGGCTGTCCTAGAAGTTCAGGGAACCACCGTCTAAAATGGCTGGCCCTCTGCGCCACCATGCTTAGGGCCAGTTGTTATGGCATTCACTTATAATCCCAGCAATTGTAGGCTGAGGCAGGAGGCTCTAGAGCTCAAGACCAAGCTGAATTACAGCATGAGACCCACAAAATAGCCCCCCAAATGTAAAAAGCTAATTCCTTACCTGCTCCCTTTGGTTACTGGTTTAGCATTAGCCACTTTGGGGCACTGTGAATTAAGAAGGCACAGCACCCTCAACAAGAGAAGACTGAAATTCCAGATTTTTATTGGGGAACACATGGCTCTAGCCACCACAGAGGTGGGCACTTCCTGGAAAGGTGATAAACCAAACTGTGCATCAAGGGCCAGTTAGCAGGATTCAGACAATATACATACAGCATCCCAAAAGTCAGAATCCATAGCATGTTCAAATCAGAATCACCAGAAATGAATTTTCAGCTGCCCAAACGGAACCCAGCACGAAGGCTTAAACTTTAGCCCAGGACACGAGACTCCTGTCTTTTTTTTTAAATTTAATTTAATTTTTTAAAATTTTATGTGTATAAGTGTATTGCCTGCATGTAAGTAAGTGCACCCATGTCATGCAATGCTGTGGAGGTCAGAAGAGGATTTCAGCCAGGCGTGGTGGCACATGCCTTTAGTCCCAGCGCTTGGGAGGCAGAGGTAGGCAGATCTCTGAGTTCATGGCCAGCCTGGTCTACATAGTGAGTTCCAGGACAGCTGGGGCTACAGGGAGACCCTGTCTCAAAAAGACCAAAAAAAAAAAAAAAATCATATTCCCTTGGGGTTAAGGACAGTTTGTTGCCACCATGTGGGTACTAGGAATCAAACCCGGGTCCTCTGCAAAAGCAGTCAGTGCTCTTAACCACCGAGCCATCTCTCCAGTCCCACCACTGTCTTTTAAAAAAATTTTATTTTATATGTATTTTATGTTTTGCCCCCATGTGTATAAGTGTACCGTATGCATGCCTAGTACCTACAGAGGCCAGAAGGCGTCAGATCCCTTGGAACTGAAGTTACAGTTTTAAGCCACCATGTGGGTGTTGAGAACCAACCAAACCCAAGTCCTCTACAAGAGGTGCTAGTCTTTAAGAAGATCCACCGTGTGGGTCTCAGTGATCAAACTCAGGTCATCAGAGTTGCCAGCAGGTACCTTTTACAGGCTGAGCCATCTCATCAGCCCAGCACTGATACTTCCTTAGACATGATTCTAAGTGCTTCACCCACTCATCATTTAAGCCTCACAGCACAGTCCAAAGTAGAGGAAGGGTTAGAGAAGTTGAATAACTTGCTGGAGGTTATACAGCTGAGGTGACAGCCACTCCGAAAGGTGAGGAAGAGATTTGATGAGAGCTCTGCTACTAGATAGAAGCATAGTTAGGAAGCCAAGGGGACCTGAGACCGAGACTGATGGCGCTGGGGCCAGGAGGAGAGACCCAGGGTTCTGAGTGGCACCTCCCCTTCTCTCATCACTGGATCCACACACTCCCTGGAGAGGGGCAGCTTTAGAAACTTGTTTAGCCAAGAAGTCCAAAGTTCAGATGACTGACAACTGAGGTAGAGAGGTGTCAAAAGCAGGATGGTCCTAGAAAGCAGCAAAGATTGGTAGAGAGTACTAGAGAGACGTGTATGGTTCAGTCATGGGGCCAGGAAGGTCACCTGTGCCAGGATAGGCTGTCAGCTCCTGATGAGCATAAACAGGGAAATGTTAGCCCTGGTCTGCTTGCCCAGTGCTGCTGGTTTAGAATTGGCCCAGGACACCCACCTGTCTTACTTCATGGGTCCCCTGGGGCCCAGAACACTGACGTTCTGTGTGGGCATCATCTCAGATGAACCCAATTTCTGTGGTACCGTGGAGGGCTCAGCCTAAGACCATCAACCCAGGATCAGAGTGCCCTAGCAAAGTGTGGAGCCTCAGAGAAGTCCCAGTTATATCACTGATTCCAGAGGGAGGGAGGAGACCTCCCTCTGTTGTCTAGAGGATGTAGGAGAGGCCTGAGGAGCTCTAAGCAGTACTGTCTAGTTTTAACATATGTCCTCGAACATAGCCTAAATGCTTTTTCAACATGTAATTAACACAAGAAATCAAGATTTCTCTTTTATTGGTACTTGGGGTTAAATCTATGGCCTTCTGCATGCTAGGCAAGCACTCCTGTCACTGAGCCACATTGTAGAAGAGCTGGTCGGCCTCAGTCCCAACTCTGGGCAAGGGAAGTCCCACGTCCGAGACTTTTCCTATTGACGGGGGTGGGGTGGGGGGTGGAAATAGGTGGGTAAAGAACCCAGACCTATCTGGGACACACAACACTCATGAGGACAGACCTTACTGAGCCACTGCAGTGGCTGTATACAGAGGCCTGGGAGCCTGGCTGCACAGTGGGAGCCTGCCAGTACCTGGCTCTGTTGCCATCCTGTCTCTGGCAGAGCTGTCAGGCTTTCTCCTAGACCCTCTGGTGCCTCTCCAGCCTGAGGGCCAGTCCTAACAGAGCCTGACTGTGCAGGCTGGAGCCTTGTTTACTCACACGCCTGCCAGCACCTTGCTGGGGCTATTTCTTCAGCCAACCAAAGAGAATTGTTTTTCTTTTTCCAACTGGGAACCTCACCAGGCTCCAAGGTAATGGCAGCATTTTTAATGTAAACCTCAGAACTCAATGTAGCTGTAGCTGCCCATTCCTGGGCTCTCCCGTGGGATCCCAGCACCCCCTTCCTGAGAGCTCCAGGCAGGTCTTGGCCAGGCAGCAAAGTGAGCACTTCCTTTCTGGGGGAACAGATCTGCCAAGATGTCACGATGTGGCCTCCTGAGGATAGCTGCTTAGACAGTTGTCCCCCTGACACTCGCCCCTTCCCAGCTCCACACAGACTTGTTTTGCTTTTGAGATAGGATTTTCACTATGTAGTCCAGATAGGCCTTGAACTTGCCATCCTCTTGCTTCAGTTCCAGTTTCTGGGTGCTGGGATCACAGGCTTGTACCACCATGCCTGGCCATATGTAGAATTTATTTTGGCATTTTGTTTTGCTTCATTTGAGATAGGATCTTGCTAGTATCCCTAGCTGGCCTGGTAATTCAGGCATTATGTAGCTGAGGCTGGGCCTCAAATTCAGGCAATTCTGCCTCAACCTCCTGAATGCTGGGATTACAAGCATGTTACCCCCATATGTGGTTCATATGTAGAATTTAGACAAAAGGAACAGCAAGCAGCCTGGTGCGGCAGGAGAGCCCTGCTGTGGGATCAGGAAGTAAGTCACCTTCCCCATTGGGCTCCAGTGGCTATCACAGGGAAAGGGAAACCACTACATGGGCAGGAGCTCATCATATAGCCAGGGAGTCAAGAGAGGATCTCAAGAGTCAGCTCTAGAGGCCACATTCTGGAGACAGCTGCATTTGAGAGTCTCAGCATCAGTAGAGGAGTGTGGAGGAAGATGGAGGACCACAGAGGGCAGCTCAGGGGCCCAAGGGGATCAGGTGGGTAGCACTCCAAGTCAGGTGTGGACTTATGCAGCACATCTAGGTGGCACTGACACAGGGCTTCTTCCCAGCAGATGCTGATGCAGTATCTCTATTATGGAGGAACAGAATCCATGGAAATCCCCACGGCTGACATCCTGGAGGTAAGAACAGAGCACAATGCACCATGTGCCCCCTCCCTTCACACTGTGGCTCTGGAGCTCCAAACCTCTGCAGGTCTCAGCCCTGCTCTCAGAAACATACAGCATTTAGAGGGGCTCAGAGGAGGAAGGTGGCCTCAGAGGTCGCTGTGGGGTCCTCCCACTTGACAGTAAGGGCAGTTCTTAGAGACCAGAAATTGGCCATACCTCTGAGCCCAGCTTTCTGGGTCATGCCTATGGTTAGAAAGGTACAACTTGACAGGGATGGTTCAGTCTAAGAGGACCAGACAGTGGCTGGGTCATCTGCTCACCTGCTGCTCATCGACTCACTGACCAGAGCAAATGGCTCAGAAGCTCATGGGAGTGAGCCATGTAACTTGCAGCTCAAGATCTCTTGGGGTCAGAAATCCCAGCCCACACCTGTCACCCAACCTGTGCCTCATCCTTCAAGATAGCCAAGAGCAGAAACAGGTCAAAGCTACCATCTCTTCCCTCAGATTGGACTGGTAGGTGGGCTGGGCCTCAGTTCTTAGGAAGTTTTGAGTTTCGTGAGGTCTGGGCCACAGACCTGGCCACCAATACCCAAGGCCTGCTTTGACTCCTTACCAGCTGCTGTCAGCTGCCAACCTATTCCAGTTGGACGCCCTGCAGCGGCACTGTGAGATCCTGTGCTCCCAGACCCTCAGTGTGGAGAGTGCTGTCAACACCTACAAATATGCCAAGGTAAGGGTCAGGGAATGCCCACCCCCTCCCCAACACACTCTACTCCCCACAGGACCCCAGCACTGTGACAACAGGTTGACCAGACCTGGGGAGCAGTGGCGGGCTGAGCCTCCCACAGGAGCCTGAGTCACTACTGCCCGACGTGACACTGTCATTGGCTCAGACCTTAGACCAGAAGTCAGTTAATTTTGAACCATCTCCCACATCTAGGCCACCTCTAGAGCACAGCAGCAGTCTCTCCACTCCATCTTCACTGTCCCCACTCCTCCACCCTTGTCCCTGTCTTGGGCAGCTGCATCCTCCTGGCCTCTCTACTTCCTCTCTTCACCATACAAACCACAAGTCTCTTTCGCAAGTACAAAAACTGTGCCATTCCCACCTAAGGTTGTTGATTGCTTGTAAACTAATGGAAGCCAGTCCATAGCTAGCTTGACAAGGTTCTCAGGATCCTACCATCACTTCCTTTCCTGGGCCCGAATGGGGATCATGAATTTCAGTAGTATTCTTAGTGGCACGACTGAGAATTGAACCTGGTATTCCCGGCAGATACTCACAGAAGGAACTCAGATTGGGGAGAGGTGGCCTCAAGAAGCAGATAGGAAATACCTCTCTGGGGCCAGGTGAGGCTTAAGCTGAGCCTTGCAATGGGTAGGTAACACTGAAGGTTGAGACAGATTCAGCCGTGGGCCTTACTTCTCTCCCTGTCCACAGATCCACAATGCCCCAGAGCTGGCCCTGTTCTGTGAAGGCTTCTTCCTCAAGCACATGAAGGCCCTGCTGGAGCAGGATGCCTTCCGGCAGCTCATCTATGGCCGCAGCAGCAAAGTGCAGGGCCTGGACCCACTGCAGGACCTGCAGAGCACCCTCGCTGAGCGTGTGCATTCTGTCTATGTCACATCTCGGGTGTGAGGTGGGTTGGAGGGTGGCTGCCATCTGTGGGTGTGCAAAGGCTGCTAAGACCTTGCAAGAGCAGAGCCACTAGGGTCTGCCCATTGGGAGACAGGCTGTCAGCCCTCTTGGAGCTAGACTCATGGGGTTGCTTATGGCTGCTCCCTGATACTCTATGGTGTTGACTGATCCTTGGGTGGGCAGAGATGCCCTAAGCCCTCTCCACTAGTAACTGGCAAAAGGGTGTGACTAGGTGACCCTTTCTTCACCCAGCCCATGGTTTGCACCTTGGGGGCCACCCTGTGCCCTCTCCCCACCAGTGACTCAGTGGCAGGTCTGGATCCACCTCAGTTCCAACTCTACCCAGCCTGACTGGGACTGTTAGAAGCGTGGGCATCCATATGAATGCAGAGAATGTCTCCTGAGCCCCGGGCCACTGAATGCAATAGCTGGTATTTGTTTTCCTAAATGCCACAGAGAAAAGGCTACTCAGATCCTGTCCTCTAGGCTGTGCCTTTGAAAGTTCTGGCGGCCCTGGCTGCTTTTAGTCTGCTCATGTCTGTGAAGACTGGGCCTCCACTGGCCCTCCCTTCAGGACTACTGACTTGCACCCCAAGCTTAGGGTGCAAGGGGGTACCACGTAGTAACAGGAGGGCACAAGTTTGTGCTGCTACAGCTAGGAGCCAAAGTAAAGAGGTGGATTCTGGGACCTCAGGCCTAGCTCTAGACTGCCTCTGTGGGCTCAGGCAGCAGCGCCTTCAGGGTCTCTCAAGTGCAAGGTTTCTTTAACTCAGGACTGGAGAGCAGGGCACACTTGTCACTGGGATCTGTGACTCAGGACAGGGCATTGATGGGAGAGAGGGGCTAGGTTAGAAAAGGCTCTTTCCTATGTCACCTCCCCTCCTGCCCTTGAAGTCTTGGTTCCCCACCCCCTGGCCTGTTTATGGAACCAGACACTGGGACAGCATCAAGAACACCTACCTTAGAAACTATTTATTCATCAAAAGCCCGGGACATTTCAGAAGTGTATCTTCGATTACTTTGAAAAGCCCCCCAGGGCTTGCAATCCTGGAAAATATTTTCAACTAGCTGCTTGTGCTGGATGTACAGAGGAGTAGGTGGGATTTTATTGCTGTAATATTGTATGATACTGTAACTATACCTTAATGTCACTTATTGTAAATGTACTATGGTTTTATCGACAATAAATACTGATTAACAATGACCTTGGCCTCTGTTCCTGGTACAGAATTACTCCAAGGAGAGTTTGGGGCTGGAGAGGAGGCAGTGGGATAATGGTGAACCTAGAGCTGAGTCTATGCCACTAGGCAGGAAGACTCCCTAGTGTAACTATGTGTGGCCAGCCACTTATCTCCCTGGGACTTCAGTCTGACTCTGTCCTTCCATGGTCCACTTTCCTCCCCTGCAAAATGAGATGAGAATTTTTTAAGCCTGTATGTACCATTGGGCTTTTGCTGACCATGTGGCCCAGGCGTTTCCCTGGGAAGGATGGGATGAGGAAGCTAGTTAGGTGCTTATAAACCTGTACCCAGTCACACTCTCCATGGCCTAATGGGAAGCACTCACCCTTGGGGGCAGCTATCTGCCCCACCATGGGACCCTGGTAGAGACAAGGGAGTATGTCTAGCCAGTAGCTTGGGCTCCAAGAGTATAGGACCTATTGTAGTTTTAGGTATATAACAGTTGTTAACATGCTCTCCTTCTAACTGGATATGTTAGAAGCATTACTGGCAAATGCCTGTAATCCTAGCACTCAGGAGGTAGAAGCAGGAGGATCAGGAGTTCAAGGCTAGCCTGAGCTAATGAGAGCCTGTCTTTGAATAAATGACTATGCTCCCCTTCTTGCTAAGATCAATGGGAAACCAATCCAGAGTGGCTACCATTTAGTAATACCCTGAGACTCTAGTTGGGAGGTGGCCAAGACCTCCAGGAACCAGTTCCAGGAAAGGCCCATTTCCTGGCTTTGATGTGGTGGGGGCCAAAAGGAGTAGCTTGAGGCCCAGTCTGGGACCCTAGACCCAGCAGAGTGAGGGAGTCGTGTGCATATGCACCACAGTGCCCTCTAGGGGCCACAGGAAGGAGATGCACCCCTCGGCACCATCTTGTACTGAAGTCCCTGTGAAGGTGGAAGAATGTTAGAGGCCTGGAATGTCCATCCTTTAAAGGTTTGTGTCTGGCCCCTCCAGCTCCAGCAGAGCAGTTCCTAGCCTAAAAGGCAGTTCTGGTTACTGTCTGGCTCCAGACTGAGCCAATAGTTGTTCTTCTGCAGGGAGAGGATAGGGATATTAAAAAGGGGGGTTGCCCTGGGCCTGTATATAGTAGGCTCTTTTTAAAGCTAAAATATTCATTTTTTAAAAATGTTATTCTTGGGGCTAGAGTGGGTAAGAGCATTTGCTGCACAAGTGAGGATCTGAGTTCAATCCCAACACCTAGTAAAAAGCTGAGTATGAATACAAACACCCCTGTAAACCCAGTACTGGGGGCAGGGACAGGAGGGTCAGAGCCTAGCTTCAGGGTCAGTAAGAGACTGTCTCAATGGAATAAAGTAGAGTGGTAGAGAACCCCACGTCCTCCTCTAGCCTGCACATACACAAGTGCATGTAGTACCCACATTGTCTCACACACACACATACACACATGCACACATTTATTGGGAGGAAAAATACTCCTCTTTTCAGGAACTAAGACATTGAGCTTATTTGATCACTTACCCTGAACCTCTTCATAGTCTGGGGCAACTACTCAAGATCATGAGACTGCCACCATGCTGTCAGCTTCAGGCTTCTAGCAGCTAGACAGGAAAGAGCCAAGTTGACTTCTTTCAGGAGTCCTTGGGTTGCCAGGCCTGAAGTATTAGCTATGTACACAGGGACAGAAAAGAGAGTAAGCACCAGACCAATCCTGAGCCACCAAAGTGAACACAGACTGCCTCTCCAAGGCTTGGCCTCCCTTTATCTGATGCTATGCCCTCTGTACTGTGCCTGGTACTGCCCTCACTGGAAGTCCTCCATGCAGATGAAGGGCCAGGAAGCCAAAAAGGCCCCGTTGCACAATTCCTATGATTAAGCAGTTTATAGAATCCCAGGAGACCCCTTCTCTCCAGTCTGAACTCCCATTTAGGCTCAAGGGTGTTCTAGCCCTGCCCCCTCTCCAGGCCCATGCACTGACTGCTGGGTTGTAATGGCCTTAGATAATGAGCCTACTTTTTCCAAAGTGTCAATCACTTATTCCTGCCCCTCCACCTCCCCTATCTTCAGCAACCCCCTTTGTGTCTCCTGGCCACTCCAGTGTCCTCTGGGGCTGCCAGGACCAGATGAGCAGTGGGAGCCCTGGGGCAGGCAGGCAGCAGTCCCTCCTGGCCTGGGGGTGGGGAGACCAGGGAGGAACCCTCTTTGTCCAAGTCTCACAGCCCCTTCCTTCCCCATCCTGGTGACAGCATACAGAGCTGGCTCATCTGACGTCAATATGCAAGTGACATCTCCTGGGATAGCAGAGCTTTACAGATGTCACTCTGTCTGGGGGCCAGATGGTAAGGTCTGAGAGAGGCATGCCCTTTCAGGTCTGAAGGAGATTCAAGATGGCGACACAAAATGCAGACTTGTTTAGCAAGACATGCTTTGAAAAGGCCCTGGACTATACAAGACATATGGGACATTCACTTCCTTTTACGTACAAAAGGCTATCTCAGGCAAGTGAAGCGCCTTATCCTAAGACACTGTATTACTCAGCACTGGGCAGGTATGTAGGTGCCATCACTACCACGAAATTATGACAGATGTGGACCTGGGGCACAGGCAGAGTAGTCACATGCCATATTCTATTGCTGTAGCAGAAAATTTCTTGTAAGTCTGGAAGCTGCCAAGTCCAAAGTGGAGGGACAGAATCTGAGGAAGGAAAGCCTTGTCAGCAGCGACTTTGCAGTCAGGTGGCTCAGGGCGGCTTCCCCATGTGTGGTGAGGAGACTCATCAAAGACATAAACTGGCTTTTATAACACCACTACTCAGGGGCTAGAAAGATGGCCCAGTGGTTAAAAGCACAGGCTGCTCTTGCAGAGAACACAGGTTCAATTCCCAGCACCCACATGGCAACTAACAAGCATCCATAACTCCAGTTCCAGGGGAATCCAACACCCTCTTCCTACCTCTGAGGGCACTGGACGACGTGGGTGCACCTACCTACATGTAGGCAATACACTCATACACATAAAAAATAAAAATTAAATAACACAGCTATTTTTGTCAACCCATTTATTCACACAGATCAATGTGCTCATGAGGGCAGAGCCCTCCCAACCACATGGAGACTGGGGACACTAAAACCACAGTGGTGCCCAAGATCTGAGAGGGTCAGGACAAAGCCATAACCAACCTCATAAGGCTGGTGTGGCCTCAAAAACCCCACATTGTGCCCAGAACAGAGCTAGTGGACAGTCTTAGGGCTGGGGACATGAGCAAGGGCTTGGACTTCTATCAAACTAACCAGCTCTACCATCTGGGAATCCCACACTGCTTTTCTGGCCATATTCTTTGGAGTGGGGTGGGGTCTTTTTGAGACAGGGTCTCCCTGTAGCCTCAGCTGGCCTGAAACTATGTAGACCGGGTAGGCTTGAACTCAGAGATTCACCTGCCTCTGCCTCCCAAGTGCTGGGATTAAAGGCTACCACACCCAGATTCTGGCAGCCTTGAGCAGCCACCTAAGAACATAGCCAAAAAAGCACTTTCCTGTCTCATCTCAACAAGCTTCCCTGCAGACCAACATAGGGTGTGCAGAGAGTATGTGGCAAGAAGGGTAGTTCCATGAAACAGGGCCTGACCTGAAGAGGAGGCAGAACAGTCCTAGCAATGGGCACAGCACCCATGCTTCTCCTGCTAGAAGTTCTGCCCCCATAAGTCCTATGCTTATTACCTGTTGGTCTAGAAGCTTCTTTTCCCCACCTTGTCAATTAAGACTTCTGCCAATTAGTGCTGGGCAAAGATCTATGTGCATTCATGATGTAGACATCATCAAACACAGGCACAGAGTATACACAATAAAACCAGGTAACTTCTGTCCCCAATAAATAGGATAGACTAAAGGACCTGGCAGAAGCTGAGCTCCAATTACCACACCAAGCCCTCAAAGTGAGTACTGTGCCACTCAGTAACTGCTACTTCTCCCATAGGTGCCTAGGTTGGGAAGCTCTAGTCACAAAGTACACCTGTGGCCATGATACCTAAAGACCCATATCTGATCTGGCAGCAAAGCCCAGCAAGAACAAGGCAACATACAACTTTCCAAAGACATGGATTTTATAAGCAGACAGGCAAATGGTCTTTCTAGGATATTATTAAAAATAGATACTCTCTCCCTCCCCCTTAGCTCTGCTAGGAAGAGCCTTTCTTGACATTCCCAAACGATGTAACCAATAGGATCTAGGGACTCAGATGTTGTGGCCTACTTAACTTAGGGCTCAGGCTTTCCTAGGACACTGAGGGCAGCAGGTCAGCTGCAGCCAGGAGAGGAACAGAAGATGTGCAAGATGTCCTGCAGCCCTGGACAGGTCCACAACGAGACCCAGGAGTCCACAAGAAAGCTGTGTATCGAATGGCAGCGAAGAACAAGAATCAACACGGCCCAATGTGAAGTGGGAACTTCTGGAAAAGGCGGCTCTTGTGGAGGAGGGTGGGGAAACAGATGACAGCCCCCTGGCAGTGCCACAGCTTTGCCCACCAAGTTCTAAGCAGATCATTTGGGAGCGAGTTTGCCTTTAAGCATGGAGGGCACACAGGTGGACTGACAGGCCTGAGTCCTGGCACCTGCCTCTGCTGGGGACTCTTGCTGCTCTTACTGTCCAGGCTGCCACCCTGCACAGCTACAAATGGTTTGGAAGTCTGTGTTATCCCTTCGCTCTTCACTATTTCTTCCACTTCAGTTTCATCTCTTTTTTGTTCTTCATCTCTCTGTTTTTCTTCAACTTCTTGTTCTGTTTGGGTTCTTGTTTTGTGTCCAACTTCCTTTTCTTGTCACTGGAAGAAAGAAAAGAAAACCACCCAGAATTGAAAGAATTGAACAGCACAGGCTGCTGTCATAGCTGAAGCACCCGGGGGAGACTGTACTGTATCTGCCACACTTCCAAACTAGAAAAGACGACACACTGACAGTAGGCCTTTATGTCACAGAAGCAAACACCAGAAGCCAGCTGCTTCCCACGAACCCAGCTATTAACAAAATTTGTCAAAATAAAACAGTATCAGTCTCAAGACTTAGCTCATAGTAGAGGGTTTGCCCAGCATATGCAAGGTCCTGGGTTTGGTTCCCAGCTTTGGGGGCGGTGGGGGGGGGGGGGGGGCCCTAAAGGCGGGAGTTCCTAAAGGCACTCTAAGACCCAGGATTTTGAGAAGTGGTAGCTTAGAAGAAAGCCAGTGTGATGTTTCAAATGATGGGGTCTGCACTGGACAAATCTGCCCTCACTGCTGTGTGCTCCCCCTTGGTCTTGGTTTACCTTCAAAGCAAGGCTGGAAACAGCTCAGCCCGTCACACCGTTGTTCTGAGGCTGAGAGAACTAGAGCCTAGGAGCGGGACTGTTGTCAGATTGGCCCTGAGAGGCCCAGTCCTGGCCTGCTGGTGAGTAAAGAGGGAAGAGACCCAGGCCTAGAGCTGCTGGCTAGTTTGCTACCACAGTGGCCCGAGCAGACTCAAAGGGGCAGCCATGGCATTCCTGCTTCCCAGGGAAAGCTAGAAAGGCAAAGAGGCCAGGAAACTTTTGGACTCGGCGGGGGTGGGGGGACGACAACTATGGGACACCTCAGGCCCTCACCTTTTCAGGCTGACAATGGAGGTGTTCTGCCCAGCTTTGTTTAAAACTTCATTCCATTCTTCGTCGTCCCCTCGAATTATGTATCTATGAAAAGAGGGAAAGTATCAAAGCCTGCTGGAGAGACAGTGATGAGATTCCCATGCCAGATACTTCTTACAGGAGACACAGGAGGAGCTGTGTTAGCCATCTGAACTGTAGAGAGATGACAGGCACTCAGCCAGGCCTCAGGTGTAGTCCCACTAGACATTAGTGTCACATAACAAGGAGGTGAGAGGGCAGTGCTCACAGAAGACCACCTACCACAGCTACCTCCTGGCCTCTCCTGCTATCACCTTCACAGTGACCAACAAGCATTTGCCCACAGCCCCTGCCAGGCCTCCCTCTCCCTGCTCCATAACCTCTCCCATCTTTTAGATAGAGCAGTCCTGGCCATCAAGCTGTTAGCACATCAAGTAAAAACCAACTGGATACCCTGACATGGCCTCCTGACCACCTCCACCTGCCCAATCACCACCATTGCCAATGATCTGGTTGCAGAAAACAGGTTACAGTGGCTCCCAGTCTAGAGGTATGGGCTGCAGAGGGCTGAAGTGCCAGGACTGTAAGATCCACCAACCCTTGGGGTGGGCAGAGAGGAAACATCACAATTAAAGCTCAAAAGGGAGCAAGATGCCTTATACACTGAAGGTTCCTGAGCAGGGAGTTTCAGGTGTGAGGTGGTAGGCTCCTTTCTTCAAACAATTCACAGGCAGTGAACACTAAAAATAGATGCTTCTCTACTCAGCTTCCTGGGGGGCCTGAGGAGAAACACAACAAACCAGAGGGATCTAGACAGCACAACTTGGAAGTCAAGCAGAGAGGACGTGGGAAGCAGAAACTATGCAACTTTATAGACATGAGGTGGTTTCCAGCTGTAGTGCTTGGGAACCTCAGCTTCTGGAGCACGTGAAATGCAGGGGGAAGACACCTAGAGCAGACTCCAGAGACTGTGCTGGCCCGGGCAGAACTCTGACTTCTTGTGAGCAGGAACAAGCCTTACTGAGAGAGGTCCATGTTCTTCAGCTTTTCCACTTCTTTCTTGTGTTTCTCCTGGAATTCCTTTGCTGCTTCATCCTATGGTCCACAGCCAGAGAGAGCAGGTCAAAGGCAAGGCATGAGCAGGGACCAGGTGAAGCAAGGGCAGCTGTCACGAGGAGGAAACACTGCCTTCTCTTGGGCTACCCTCAGAACCAGCACAGGTAGCTCTTACGGTTTTGAAGTATGCATGTACATAAATTATGTGTTTGGAAAAGTACCTGAAGGGGCAATTATAATATTGACACCAGGAGATGCTGGATTCTGGCCCTTACACTCAAGTGAGAAGCAAGGAGGCACAGAGTGAAGGCAACACTGGCTTGGACCTACAGAATGCCACTTAGCTAGGCTAGTGCAGAGGACAGTTCTTTTTTGTCTGCTGTGAGACAGGGTCTTGTTATATAGCCCAGGCTGACTTGGAATTCATTATGCAGCCACTCAGGCTGGCCTTAAACTGGAGAGATCCTCCTGCCTCAGCCTCCAGAGAATAGGGATTATAGGCATATACCATCTTGAAGAGACAAGTCTAAAGGGACTAAAGACGGTTTATATTTGCAGGCCACTGAGGAAAACACTGGAGGTTGTTAAAGTCTTCAGAAGGGACATACCAGGTCATCACTCAGGGTCTTCATCGTGGGCTCCATGACGACATCCCTCACTGCCACCATTTGCTCCTCAATGGCCTTTTCCTGCACATCATTAAATAGCTGCGAAGCAACCAAAGAAATGAAAGATGAAGCAGCAGGGGGGCCAGCCACTACTCACCAAGACATTCAGTATCTTAAAGGGCAATGTTTCAGACTTTAGGATACTGATGATCAAGTACAAGCTTAGAAACACAGGCTGGGGATGCATCAACTTCCAACAGTGATGTCCACAGGAAGGGATCTTTCACAGACAGCTAACACCCCAAATTTCTCTCCTTCTGTGTGTGTGTGTGTGTGTGTGTGAAGATCTGCAGCAAATACAGCTAAAGGTTAATACTTGAACAGAGAGTGTATATTGTGTTATTGGAAAAAGACAAAAACCCTGCTCCTGGGCCAAGGTTACCTTCACAACTTTGCGGACGATCCGATTGAAAAGCCCCATCAACTGGCCTGAGGGGAGCTCGATCTCCTTTTCCAGCTGATCCACAGATTTATGCTGTAGGCCAATTCCCAAGAGAAGAGCCTAGAGGATAGAGAATCAACTCTAGGACAAGCCAGCCCATTCAAATAGCTGTGAGAATCAGTTTCCTTCTTTTGAGCAAAGCTTTCTGGCAGAAATTACAGAGCTGCAGTGTTTATTTGGCATCTTCTCTTTCACTATTACTAAAACCACCAAGACACACTCCTTCCTAAAACAACTCCTCTGACTTGTACTGCCCTGAGAAGACCTGCTTCACAAAGGCATCACCAGTGCATGGTGGCCTGGCTTCTGCTAAGACAAATGGTAGAGTAGGAAGAACATGGGCTCAAAGAGCAGGGGCCCACTTGCTAACTGTACAACTGGGCATACTGCTGGACCTCGGTCCTGCAGGATGAAAAGGTACTACCCACCAGCTCTGCTGGGGGCTAAAGGGACAAAGTTATTAAGCACTCAACCCAACATCCAGCACAAACAGCTCCACTGTTCTCCCTTCTCTGCCACTGGAGTACCAGATGACCTACTGACTGGGCAGCAGACAGGGCGAGATCCCCCAGCTGGTTCAGGAAATACAACTGGGAAATGGCTGGGATGAGGTCCATGACGAGGTGATAGTCCACCATGTTCCGAGAGTACATCTCTAGCCGCTTCAAGTCGTACGGGAGGAAAAGCGCCTCCAGCTGCTCCCGGCCTAGGGCTACACACATTAAGAGTCAGAAGAGTCAGGGCAGTCTTGAGCCCTCACACAATAGCAACTAATATAGTCATCCAAAAGTGCCTGGCCACCAATCCAACAATGCTGAACTGACAGTACAGACAGCTGGACTGCTGAGGTGCCACATCAACATGCTCAACAAAGGACAGGGCCTCATGGCCAAGGGTTACAAGGACACCTCCACCTTCCCAGTTTGTCACTGCTCCTCAGGATTTGGCTTCACATAAGTACATGCTCTGCCCAGCTTGAGGAACCCAGATTTTCCCATCAAAATACAATTAGCAACAAAAAAGTAAATTCACCTGCTGGACTGCTGAGGTGCCACATCAACATGCTCAACAAAGGACAGGGCCTCATGGCCAAGGGTTACAAGGACACCTCCACCTTCCCAGTTTGTCACTGCTCCTCAGGATTTGGCTTCACATAAGTACATGCTCTGCCCAGCTTGAGGAACCCAGATTTTCCCATCAAAATACAATTAGCAACAAAAAAGTAAATTCACCTATAAGGACATGAGTATAGAGATACATCTCTCTCTCTCTCTCTCTCTCTCTCTCACACACACACACACACCAAATGGGAAGAAAGTAATAAAGTTTTCCATATTAGCATAGGATATGATATTGGGTATTGAAATGCATAGAGTTTACAGATTACTCATGGTAATACTTTTAGCAGGTTTGTAGGATGCAAGATCAATATCAAAGATAAGTTATATTTCTCTACATTGACTGATCTGAATTTAAATGAATAAAAATCCATTTATAATAGCATCCAAATAAGATATTTTCAAATAAACTGAAAAATTATTGCATTCATTCATCCATGTGTGTGCATGCATGAAGGTCAGAGGACAGCTTGTGAGAGTCAGTTAATTCCACCATGTGGGTTCTGGAGATTGACCTCAGGTTGTCAGTTTTGGGGGTAAGTGCTGTTACAAACTGAGCCATCTCTCTGACCCAATTACAAATAAATTTAAAAGAAGTACACAACCTGTACACTTAAAATTACAAAACATCCTTGAGAACTAGGGACAAAGTATTTGGTAAAAGCACACACACACACACACACACACACACACACACACACAAATATGTATAATATAGATACATGGAACTGGTAATAGGAAAAAGTGGCTAGCAACCCCTAGTACAATTTTTTAAATTTTTACCTAACTAAACAACTGATTTATAGGCACAAAAACTCTTCTACATATCGGCCACAGATGGCTGGCAACATATTCTTAGTGAGATTTCACAAATGGGGAAATGAGCCACAGAGACTGAGCTAGTTCCCTCAGATCCCAGGTTTGAAAATGGGTTCCACTGCTAACTGCTGTATGAACTTCTCTGGCATCTGCTATCAAGTCACATCCTGAATGCTGTCCTGAAGTGGAAGATGATGGCATGGGTGACTATACCTAGGGCACAGCCTGGACAGAGAAGGGCCTGGAAGCAAGAGGTAGCATAGAGAGACAGAGGATTGGAGCAGGCCCTCAGGTCCTGGGTGAGTAGCTCACCTGGCTGGGCTGGCTTCCCTATGTTCCTGTTCTGAATGATGTTCAGAGCCACGGGCGGAGAGAAGGTGCTGAACTGGTAGGACAGCAAGGCCAGGAACCGTCTTCGGAAATCTGCAGGGCACAACCAGTCAGAGAGAATAGTCTGGAAGTGCCCAGCCCATCACCTCACTGTCCCCTCTCCTTTCCACTAGCATTCACCTTTCCAAAAGGCTGCAAGCCAAGCTCCCTGCTCAGTCTCGTCCTCATCAGCCAGCATCTTCAGCATGATGCATGAGTGTTCTCCAGTCAGGTCATTCTAGGGAACACACATTCCCGCTTGGCACAAAGAACTCCCTTTTCGGAACAACCCATTAGGGGTAAAGGGCAAGCATGCACAGAAGGGCTTGGTGCCTCCTGGCTCTTCCTCTTTCCTTAGCTGGGAGATGCGCCTTCTGAAACAGGGCTGCACCTCCACATTGACCACCTGGCCTCAGTTCACACACACAGGCTTCCAGAGCTCAAGCTGCAGGCTGCTTCCTAAAGGGGTTGTAGAAATGGGGCAGGCCTGCAGATCTTCAGGCCTGACTTCTGCTCTGGACCTATAGAAGTAAGTCATTTGCTCCTGGCAGGTAGGTTCTATAATGCCATGCAAGTTTAATGCATCATCCTGTCAATACATTTTTGGTGCTTAAAGCAAAAACTTTTTAACAAACCCAGAGGTTCTGAGCTGGCAGCCAGTGTGCACAGACAGGCTTTTTTTGGGAGAGGGGAGTCTCAAACTCTTTATGTGTCAAGCTTCATTAGGTGCTGAGATAGTGACTATGAGGCCACAGATGTTTGGATTTTTTACTACATAACAAGTCTCACCCTCTCATAACAGTATCTAATGGCTTTCTGCTGAACACCACATTCATGGAACAAAATGCTAGCAATAAGTCACAAAAAAGCAGTGCAAGCCACAAGAGCACAGGACGTACTACAGTCTACCCGAGGCTCATCACCCTGCATCCTCCTTGCACCCAACAGTCCAATTTACATCTTGGTCCTGGCCAAGTGCATGACAAGTGCCAGCCCAGCTCTACTGCTCCACACCTGCTGACACTCAACCAGTCTCACTTTGAACCTCTCGTGGACATTTGACACCACCCTGGAACACTGCCTTTGCACTCCCCTCCGTGGGAAACAGAAGCCATCAGACATCTTCATTCTCTCAACAGCTGTTCCATGCCCTTGGCACCCATGCTCTTTGCTGCCCTCCTGTAGTGAAGGATGAGGTGCCACCCAACCTCCAAATGCTGGGCTTCGGCCCACTGGCCTCCTCAAAGCCCATATTCCTGCAGTCAGTCTTCTCCACCTGTACCACATAAAGTATCTCTCCAGTGAACAACCATGCTTCAAAATCTCCCACCTGAAAAACCCTCCCTCACCCCAGTCTCCTTCCAGCTGTCTTGCTGCTTGCTGACTTTCATTCTGGGAAAAAGTATCTATTTGTGGTCTATCTGCTCACCAGCTCCAGCTCCAATAGCATGGAAAGACTAGCCGTTCAGATCACCAGTGTTGGCAAATCCCACGGTCACCTGTCCTCATTATTCCCTGGACAGCAGCTGACCCCTTCTTAAAACTCTGTAATCCTGATTTGGACTTCCTCTGTAGTTCTGGTCCAGTACAGTCAACTGGTTCAAGTTCAGGTTGAGGTTGAAGTCATCCTGCTGGAGCCTAAGCCACTATGCTATCATCTGCATTGGGTTCTTCACACACAGGCCTCTCTTCAGGGCTTATTTGATGCCCAATCCTCTGTAGGTGCTAAATGCATTTTAAGTGAGCTCACTGTTGCTCTCACCTTCAGAATTCACTGTTACTATCCCTCCATCAGAAACCAGCAAGCTCCTGAACCAGTTCTGTGTTTTACAAGCTCAAGAGAGGCTCCAGCCTGCAGGACTCCATAATCTAACAAGTTTATGTGTACCTCTGACATTTTACAAGAGCACAAAGCCCAGGATGCCAGGTTTCACAGGGGGATTGTTTTGTGATGACATGGCCTCTGAAGGACAGCTATTTGGTTATCCATCTTGAGTAACCCACTGCAAAGCACAATCAGGGAGGCATTCAAGTTAAGTGTTAGAGTGAACAAAGTGGCAACTGTGCCAACTGTAGCCACAAACCTAACCCCACCTCTGCCCAATGCCTCACTCACTGGGGTCTGTCTCAAATAGACAGGAACAAAACCAGCTCGTTTCCAGAACCTACAAAAAGAACAAGGAGAGGAAGTCACCATGTATGCCTTCTGGGAAGCAGCTGAGCCAAAGGGGGAGAAGGGCCAGGAGGAGCAGGAGGCAGATGGTTGACACAGACCCTAGCTACAGTGGGAAACAGCCCGGGGAACTCTCCTTTTCTCTGCCAAGTGATGATACTAAGAAATAGGGCAGAAACTTACTTGAGGAGCCTGGGGGTCAAGCCATAGGAAACCCCCAGGTAATCCAGACACTCCGCAGGCCTCTCGTTCAGTTTAAGGAGTAAGGGAGGCAGGTCCTTCCGTGGAGTGATGACTTCTTCCAACAAGCTGACAGCCTAGGGAGAAAACACCGTCGGCTCAGCAGAAGGAAATAGAAGCTAGTAAGTCTTGAGCACCCCAACATGCCACACAAACAAAACTAGGAGGGGTTTCTTGGTGTGCTCCTGTGGTTTTTAAACAGAACCCCAATGACTCAAGTGATCGCCCCTGGGCACTCCACACACATAAACATGCATGGACTCATAATGCTCTCAACCTAGAATGCAGGGACAAGACTACCCAGTTTAGCAATGCCTAATAAACTTTAGAAGGGACAGAGGTAGGGTTCTAAAGAAGCAACATGAATTCCAGGCTCCTTCCATTGGCACCTCTTTGACCTTGGACAGTAATCAACCTGAGCCTGATACTAAATTAAAACCCACATGCTCACACAGGGGTGCCCTATGAAGATCATCGAATGGAAGTCTGTCAGTCACTAGTGTAGACCATCCTAAGCAAGGAAAGATAGAGCTCTGTGTACCCTGGATTTAGTGCTAACAAGGTAACACTGCAGAGCACAGCTTCTCAAACTTGAGGTGTAGCATCACCTGGATACAGTGGTAAGTCACACATCACTCAATGTATTCCCAGTTTCTGAATCAGCAGGTCTGGGACTGGGCTCAGCGACGTGTACTGTGAACAGGTCTCCAGATGATGTAGGAAATACCAGCCAGTCTAAGACTCTCCACTCAGGGTAGTAGAAAAAAACAGCTGGCTGCCCAAACAGGGAAGAGCCCAGAGAGCCATCCTCTCAAACCCAAGACAGTCACTTTGCCACAACATGCCTACCTCACTGCTCACGGTGTGGATTTCTTGTGATGTTGCAAGGACCTTTTCCTCCAGACAAGGGAACCTGCCTTCATAGTACATCTGTAGCAGCTGCAGAGCACGGCTACCATAGCCCATCTGTGAGCACACAGGGAGGACAGCCATTCTCACTCAGTCCATCTGAACCACTTCCCCTACCCCTTCTGTCCTGCTTCTTCAAGCTGCAGTTGGCAAAGCTACTAATGAAACTCAATGCTGACAAAGCTGACCCTAAAGGCCAAACATAGTACAGACTTAGTTCTTACACTGGCCTAGCCCACCCTCAACAGCCCACTTGCAACCAGAGGCTAGGGATAGTGGCTATAGCACTGCCAGAAAGGGATACTTCTACAGCTGTCTCCTCCATGCAACTTTCAAAGTGACAGACGGAAATTATGGGAAAGCAATCTGATTCAGCAAGTCCTGTGTTCTAACAAAGGAAAAGAAATATGTACCACACCCTTGTCCACCTGCCCACCCCCTAGCCCTGGCAATTCTCTAGAACAAAGAAGCACACCTGAAATGCTACTTGCTTAAGCAGCTTTTTATCTGGACACTGGGTACACCTGCCCTAAAGAACGACCAGAAGCACAGCTACGGGTGATGGGTGAGAGGTGAGAGGACAAGTTACCCCTTGATAATCTGGGTGCACAGCAATGCGAACAACCCTTCCACCAGAAAGGCCTCCGAAGTCTGGATCCTGAAACTGTGGGAGACACAAGCCAGTAGCTTAGCAACACAAACACCCTCTGACATAGCCAGCTTTGCTCACTCAGATATGCCAGGGACAGATAGTACTTCACCTGTTCTGACACTGTCCATGGAATCAGGTCCCCTGAAGCCTTCTTGCCTCGAGACAGGCTATTCAAGATGGACTGTCGAGAAATCTCCCCCTCAAGGCATACCTGAGGGCAGAACCAAGACAGGGAAGTTCCAAACTTCAACCTTCTGCCTGTTCTCTAAGCCACAGGTTTCTACCACAGGTTCAAGCCTGACACTGACTTCATTACTATGCCCCAGAATACTACTAACAAGGCAGAATACTGACATCCTCCTGACCCAAGCTACATTAAAAGAGGGTCGCTATGGAGGCTGTGCATGTATCACTCATGCACATATTAAGACAAAGAATGCTGCCCGGTGTGGTGGTGCACACTTGTAGTCCCAGCAGTTGGGAGGCAGAGGCACGCAGATCTGTGAGTTCAAGGCAAGTGTGGCCTACATAGTGAGTTCTAGGCTGGAGAGATGGCTCAGCTGTTCTGTTCTTGCAGAAGACCCGAGTTCGAATCCCAGCACCCACACGGCAGCCAGCAACTGTCCGTAACTCCAGTTCCAAGGTATCCAACAGGCTCTTCTGTACTCCACGGGCACTGCACGACACGAGTGCACTCACTTACATGCAGACATAACACTCATACACATAAAATAAAAATAAATATTAAAAAAGATTAAAAAAAAAAGAAAAAAGGAAAAATGGGACACTTAAACTTCTTTTCTCTAAAACTAGTTTTTAATTTTTTAAGTGTTATGCACTACTTTGTAATAAAGAAGATAAACAAGTTCTGGCTTTTACCCAATCATGAACAGGTTTCTGCAAATGGCTGACTTCAATGCACCCCATCACCTGCCTCAACAGACCCGGCCACTCTGATCCAGGCCAGGACTCAACAGCTTCCCTGGCCACATGGATGCCCAAAAGTTCCCCAAATCAATGCAACATAGATGCCTCTCTGCTCTGTACCTGGACAACTGCAAGCACTTCTGGCAGAGTATTCTGGGTGGGAGGCACAGGGGGCAGAAGGCAGAAGAGGTGATGAGCAGGTGCATCAGAAAGCATCTGGAGGTCATTGGGAGAGTTCTGTGGGGTAAAACATGAGTCAATTGGACACACTCCTGTTCTTTATCACAAGGGCCAATTCATAATCAAAAGATGATTGCAGTTCTGTCTTCTCCGAAGTCAAGTGAGGCTAAAAACCAGCAAAGCACCTTTCCATCATCGTGTGTCAAGCTGAGACTCTTCACAATGGCTTCAGTGGGTCTGAGTCTCCAACACCTACTGTCTTCTCAAGCTCTGCTATGAGGCCATGGAGCAGAAGTTATTTAGTGCTATTTCACAGCTGAGAAGTGAATTTTCTCCAGATAAAAGGCTGCTTGCTATTTCAGGGAAAGCTGCCATTACAATTAATGCCAACTCTTGAGGCTTCCATTACAGGCAGTGCATGATAACGCTGTAATACCCACACACTCAAGAAGCATCCTTTCCAACCTATCCCTTAGTTTTGGAATTTCTATGTACTAAACTCAGATTCACTGCTCCTTAGTAACAACTCAACAGTACAAAGCTGGCCTCAGGCCAAGTACCATCCCTGTGTTCCAAGTGCTGATGGCACCTCAGCTTATCAGCTTATTCAACATGTAAGCAATACCAGCACCCTTTAAAATGGGCAGAACTTCCCACCCTCATTCAGCTCCCACTCATGAGCTCCACACAAGAGTTTCACACTGTGTACAAAGCTTGACCAAGCGACACAGGTTATAAAAGGAAGTGCAACCCCTCCAAGACCACTGGACCCCATCAGCTTCAAGACATTCAAATTCAATGGAATAGCCACCATGGCTGCAAAAGGTGTGGGAAGATAAGAGGGCTACTTCCTGCTAAAGAACACGCAAAGGTGAGTTGGTTACCTTGTAATGAGAAGCCACATAGAGGGCCATGAGTCGCTGGAGGAAAACTTCAGAGGCCTTGTGGTAGCAAAAGAGGGTATCTCTATTAACATAATAGCTGGTCTGGAGTTAAGTAACAGAAATAAACCAGAGAACCCAAAACAGGACACACCATAAAAGGTACAGATTTTTCCCAGCCTGGAAATGGAATCCCAATGTCCTAAGCAGAAATGACCTGGAGGAGAACTGAAGAACAAATAGATAATGGGTTGGATTTTTTTGTTTGAAACAAGGTCTCATTACTTGCTTTGGCTGTGAACTCCTGGGTCTGAGCCATAAGGCCCAAGTCTTAGCCTCCTGAATGAGAACAGGGACTATACAGATATATGGCACTACACCCAGCCCCAACCCTCTGAATTCTCACACTGCCCCTCCCTTTGACAGGGCCAGAGAGACCCAGAGGATACAGCTCGCAGGCCTCAGGCAAGGGGCAGCCAGAAACTATGCGAGTGATGTTGAGGCAGTCCAGGCACAGCAGGTCGTTCAACCACTTCTCCACTGCATCCCCAGGGGCATAGCGGATCGACTCCTGGAGGGAAACCTCATGCAAGGTCCTCACTGTTCCCCACAAGTCACATACATACAAGAAGAAACAATTACTAAGCACACATTGTCTAACAGCAAGAATGTTCCACTTTCTCTATGGCACACAATGCCCAGATACCTATGGTTCAAGAACTTAAAATTGGTGATTTTAAGGTGTTTTTGTGAATATTCACTTAACTCAGATACCAAATCCATAGATCACACTAAGTCAATACACTCCTATCTTCGAACAGGACCAGCAAGGGCCCAGGCATGTGACGGCCCAAGTCAAGTTCCTGTCTGGCCACTGGACTGCTGTTCCTCTGAGAAAAGCTATTTCACCTCCCAGGACTCAACCTTTCTACCTGATATGAAGTTCTAGTACTAGCCATGAGGTATGGGGCAAGCAAGGGTCAAGCAAGAATGTCAGAGGAGGCACCTGAGGCCAGTCTGGCTGTTGTAGTGGTCTTGTTCTCAGCAGTGGTGCTGACCTGGCTCTGGGCACTCTGCTGACGAAGCTGCTGAATAAGCTTGAGGGACAGTGAGCGGCCAGTGCCCTCGTAGCTAGGAGAAAGACAAAGGCAGTCAGACACAAAGATCCCAATCCTCTTAAGAGGCCTTGCTCCCTGAGGGCAGTCTTGCTCATCTACTTCCAGTACAGCACACATGTGTCCGGAGAAGAGGACAGCCTGTGGCTTGGCAAGGAACCACTCAGACTTGAGAACTCTTATTTCCTAAATCCTACATACAGGACCTTGATCTGAACTAGAAAATGAGGTTGAAGGGGCTGGAGAGATGGCTCATTTTGGTTAAGAGTACTGGCTGCTCTTGCAGAGGACCTAGGTTCAATTCCCAGCATCCACATGGTGGCTAATAACTATCTGTAACTCCAGTTCCAGAGGATCTGATGCCCTCTTCTGACCTCTGTGGGCACTGCATGACATGGGTGCACTTACATGCAGGCAATATAAAATAAAATAAACATAAAATATTTTAAAAAAAGAAAACGAAGCCTGAAAAGATGATGTAAACAAAGTTCTTAACCTTTGGAACAAAACTAATGGTCAGCTGATGGGAGGCACTATTAGAAGTTGCATGAAGGCCAGGCATGGTGGTACATGCCTTTAATCCCAGCACTTTAGGAGGCAGAGGCAAGCAGATCTCTGTTGTTTAGAAGCCAGCTAGGGCTACATAGTGAGACCCTATCATTTTGTTTTGTTTTTTAAAAAAAGTGATGTAGGTTGGGGAGATGGCTGAATGGGTCAAGTGGGAGGACCTTAGCTTAGATCCCCAGAACCCATGTAAAGCTAGGCATTGTATCATGTGCCTGTAATCCTAGTGCTCCTACAAGTTGAAAGCTGAGACAGGAGAATCCCTGCAAGCTCCAAGAACCAGCTAACCTGGTGTATGCAGCAGCAAACAAGAGACCCTGTCTCAAACAAGGGAGATGTCTAAGATTGACACCTGAGGTCTCTTCTGATCTCCACAGGTGCACCCACACTCTCTCTCTTCAAGGTAAGATTTCTCTACATGAATCTTTTCAATACTGAAGATATATATTTAATGACCTGAAGACTTAATATATTTGTAAAACAGCATATTTACAAAAGTATATAAACCTTATGTTCTTATTCAAAATGAAAAAGTAAAAAATACACAGAAAAAATACACCAGAATTCTAATGGAGGCTATCTCCAGATAGCTGGATTGAGGTAATTTTTCTTTGCATGTGTGCACATGTATGTGTGTGGTACGTGCACATGAGTGTATGGGTGCCTGCACTTGTGCGTGTGTAAGTGAAAGTGGAAATTGACCTTTGTTTTTTTAGGTTAGGCTAACTGACCAATGAGCTCTCAGGATCTACCTGGCTCCCATTAGTTTGGTTTTTTCCTAATTTTTCCATCGCAAGATGAACTAAGTATTTCAAAATTTAAAAAATGCATCATAGCCAGACATGGTGGTGCATAGCTTTAATCCCAGCAGAGGCAGAGGCAGGTGGAGCTCTGTGAATTCAAGGCCAGCATGGTCTACATTGCGAGTTCCAAGCCAGCTGGGGCTACAGAGAAACCCTATCTCAAAAAAACAAACAAAAAACAAAACAAATTTTAAAATTAGTATTTTAATACTGCTGTAGCTATTTTAATATTGTATTTGCATATCCCAAGGTACAGGGCCTTGGTATTGCCACCAGGTGTTTTTTTTTTTAATGTGTATGAGTGTAATGCCTGCATGTATGTAAGTGCACCCATATTGTACAGTGCCCATGGAGGACAGAAGAGGGTGCTGGATCCTCTAGAACTGGAGTTACAAACAGTTGTTAGGTGCCATGTGGGTGGTGGAATTCAAACCCAGGTCTTCTGCAAGAACAGCCAGTACTCTAAACCACTGAGCCATCTCTCCAGGCCCTTGCCATCAAGTATTTTTTAAAACTCCATCGCACTTATACAAAAGAAACATGCATCATCACACACAGGGTTCTTCAGTCTCATGTTGCCTACTTAACACTGGTCCAGAAGAGTAGTGGTTTGTGAAGAGGCAGCTCCTGCTGTAGAAGCCCCAGGAAAGAATGAAGCTGACCCAAGACTCCTACTGTGACTGAACATAGTTTTGCATGCATGCCCATTACATTTTCATTACAAGTCACTTAATCTGCAAGATCCCAGACAGAAGCAAGAGCATGGCCACCCAAGGTGCTTTACCCATTGATGGTGGATGCCATGAAAACGAGGTAAGGCCCAAGCAGGCTCTTCACCAGTGGGAGGGGAATGGCGGCAGCTTCATCAATCACAACAAGCTCAGCCTGGCCCAGCTTCACTGCATCTGCAGGATGGATGTACTGTGGGGAAAGAATATTTAGATGATGTGTGTGGCCATCTACAGCCACAGCCGTTGAGTACCAGTGATCCATCACAAAGTCTACTCTGTCCACTCTCACTGTCCCTTGCTTCACCCCCACCCCCTTCTATTTTTTCTGAGCAGGTCAAGAATGAAATGGGCTTTGAGTTGGATACCTGGGACCAAACACTTCAATCACTAATTATGTGATCCTGTCCCTTCATCTCCCAGAGCCTCATATTCTTTTTCTACAAAATACAGGAAAAGGACTGGCAAGAGGGCTCAGCCATGCAAAACCAAGGGCCCGCGTGTGGATTCTTCCAAAAATATCCCTGTAAAAGATGGGCACGGCACCTAGACCTTGATCCCAGTGCTCAGGAAGAAGAGGCAGGAGGTCTCTGGGGCTTGCTAGACAGACAGACACACACACACCGGGGGGGGGGGGGGGGGGGGGGGAATATCCACTTAATGGCTTCCTGAGGAAAAAATATGTCATGTAAAAGGGCATTTTGCAAACCCTAGCTTATAACACTGATTAACAGTGGCAGCTTTCCTTTCTCTCTTCTGTCTCTAGTATTTTTCCTCAGTCTCCAATTAGGGAGGACAGTGGTAGACGGCACAGCTCTATCTTATAACCCTGGGCTTCTCGGCTAAGTGCTGTGCTCTCTGTCCTAATACCACCAGCCTCCTGTATTGGTAGGCAAATTTCCAGACTCTTCTTGGAGGTTGGGGGAGCAGGGCAAGTTTAACATAGCCCTGGCTGATCCTGAACTTTCTATGTAGCCAGGATGCTCTTGCCCCTACCTCCCAAGTCCAGACTGCTCTTAACACACACTTACACATTCTTAAGCATAGAAACAATCCATTTCTTAGCGCTTTCTGCTGTTTTTAAAAGGCCATAGAGATGTACTATATAGAGGCAATGTGAATTTCACGAGCAATCAATGAACTGCTGAAGTCAACATATAGACAGAAAAGACAAATTGCCTATCTAAGGCTGGACATGGTGGTACATTATCTGTAATTCCAGCACTTAGGAAGTTGAAGGAGCAGGACCTTAAGTTTGAAGCCAACCTGAGGCTACATAGTGAGTTCGAGGTCAGTCAGTTACACAAGGAGACTGTGGCTCAAACAAAACAAAACAACAAAGCCAAGTATGGCCCAAAGTAGTGCTGAGGCAGATGGATGAAGTCAGCCTGGTCTACATAGTCAGTTCCAGCCAGAGCTACACAGTGAGAACCCAGCTGCAAAAGAAGAAGAAAAAAAAGGTGTGATACACACGAGTGGACCCCATACTCAGGGAGCTGAGGTAGAATGGTAAGTTACAAGTCGAACAAAACTCACTGAAGTGTTATATATAATTCCCAGTGCTGGTAAGGACTTAAAGAAGTAAAAATTCAAACAACAAAAAGTGATATGAAATTAACTTGGCATAAGCACTTTAAAGGAGAACTTGGAAAATTCCAGAAAACTAGAAATCTACACATCTAATCTAAAGCCCAACAATTCCACTTCTAGGACAAAAAAAAAAATTTTAATTAGGCATGCCAAAAAAAAAAAAAAAAAAAAAAAAAAATTTTTTTTTAAAAGAAAAAAAAAAAAAAAAAAAAAAAAAAAACAATCCTGATAACTCGTGACACAAATGAATCAATCAGATCTATAGGCTATAGGCTTCAATCTAAACGAACCCTGAAAACAGATGTTGGTGAGCAGATGGGAGGGCCAGCACATCTGGATACATAGTTGACAAGTGGCCAGGCCTGCTTCAGTATTACTGCCGGGCATCTGAGTGGTATCCGGTCTCTATGCTTTCCTATAAGTCTAAAGTGTTTCATCACAGATAAAGACTTTCACTGATTTTTGGCAGACTGCCAGGTAAAGAGGGACCAGCTCTATATACTTCAGAAGGGCCTCATGTCTTGATTCCTAACTAAACAAACATCTCATAAAAGCACAGAAAGTAGACCCCAGGGAACAGTCCTGTTTCAATCTAATAGTCTTTTTCTTCAATCTCCAACCAGAAAGAAGGGCCCTAGGAAGGAACAAATTTATAGTCTTACAAAGCCAAGCCACCTCCTCCACTAATATCCTGAGTCTGCAGACAGAAGGACTATGGTAATAAAAGGACACTGGATAAGAAAATTCAAGAAGCCAGGGATGTGTGGGGCATTTCAGAGAAATGTTTTCTTTCTTTTTTTTTTTCCTCTCTGTCTTTTTTGAGACAATATCTCCCTGTAGACCCAGCTGGCCTGGAATTTTCTATGCAGACCAGGCTGGCCTTGAACTCACAGAGATCTTCCTACCTCTGCTGGGACTGAAGGTGTGTTGTCACCACACCTGAGTTATGTTTTCCATCTTTAATTTGTATATTTTTCCTGAATTTTACCAGTTCCCTGTATTCTCAGAACTAGCAGTTTGCCCCACCCCCAGGCCCACCCCAACCCACACTAACAAGTTTTCTCCTCAGCTGAGGAAATCAGGCAACAGTGGGATGCAATGTGTAGAATGAAAAGACTAGAAAGAGATCTAGTATAAACATTGGTATTGATCATCTGATATAAGGTATACCTTTTTGACAGGACCATCCACTACTTTCACAGGCATATTCAAGGACATAAACTGCCAAGTTCACCTAGCTCACTTCCCAAACTAACTCCAAAAGCAATCAATGAATCCACTCCAGCAAGAGCCTCTACAAGCTTGTCACAGGATGCCTCTTAGAAACTCAACCACACTGAGGCCTTCAGAGAAGTGTAGAGCACTCTGACTTACAGAGTGCTTGAGATTTATGGAACTTTCTGGAAAATACTATTTAAAAAGGAAATAGGGCATTGGCAAAACCACAAAGATCCTGCAGTAACTAAGAAAAATGAGAACTGATGTCAGACCATGATTTTCTTCTCTCAGTATATTCTCAATTCCATTCATTTCATTATTTTAGAGACAAAAGGTGTAGCATCTTTCAATCTTACTACAGACATTTGTTAGTTGGCCTGAATGTTTTCATCACAAAAAGCTGAATCTGGAACAGATTTCTCATATATCACCCTTGCCTTAAGACCAAGCAGTTACATACCACACCCAACACCCATGAGGAAACCCCTCAGAGCCAGATATGTAAGTGCAGTCCTAGTTCACAGCAGAGTCTGAGAACCTCACCTGAATGGTCTGCCTGTGCTCCCGGAAAACATTCACCCTTATCACCGCTTTATTAAACTCAGGATTTAGAGACTGAACAATCTCGTAATCCAGGTGCTCCTGGTAAGGAAAGAGTCAAACCAGTGACAAGTTTTAGAAAGTCATTATTGAGAAAGCAAGCATTCTCAGATCACCTGGGCTTCAATCCAGCACTACAGCAAAAGTCCTTACATTAATTTTCCTACCTGATACTGCAGAGCATCAAATCCTTTAAATACGAATTCAAACAGAGTGTGGAGGTTATCTGGACTTGGGGAGGTAACAAAAATATTAGAGTACCTGTAGAACAAAAGGAGAGGGAGGGTAGTTAAGAAACCAAGAGACTCAGGACTTTTTTTTTCTCTCTCTCTCTTTGAGACAGGGTCTTCCTGTAGCCCCAGCTGGCCTAGAACTCACTATGTAGACCTTGAACTCATAGAGGTCCACCGGCCTCTGCCTCCCAGAGACTCAGGACATTTTAAAGAAGCAATTAAAATTAAGAAATTCCTTTTGGTTGCTCCTGCCACACAGGTGATAAAAGTACTGACACCTTTTGGGAAAAATAGAAAGCAACTGCAGACCTGAGTATTTTTTCACAAGGCAATAAGAACGCATTAACGTGTTGGCAGCAAGTTCTGGCACTATCAACATCAGTGTCAGGAAGTGCTGAAGGGCACTTAGGAAAGTGGCACACTCTCCCCAATCTAAGGTCCTGACAGGAGGGACAGCCTCACACTCATCATTAGCTACACTAAGGTTTTCAAGGTATGAAGTCAGGGAGCTCAATGGGTGCTCAGGCTTAGGCAAGGCCACGACTCTGCCAGCAGCAACTTGCTAGGGATCTTGGTAAGTCACTGGAATTCCCTGGGCCTGGTTTACATACCTATAAAATGCCCACAGAACTATAAGTAGCACCAAGACAGATAATCCATAGGAGACAATGAACTTTAGTCCATGACCATGTTGTAGAGTTGGAAAAGCATCCTTTTGGCAATTACATAAAGATTCCACCCAGGATAAGAACAGAAAGTAGTATCTTACTCAAAGTCTGTTCTTACAAAACCAGACTTCCTATTAATCAAGATCATTAACATCTTCAACTTATACTGTCAGCAAAGCTGGATGGTCACAGACATTCTCAGGCCAAGTTTTAAAGTTTCTCACTCCCAATTCTTTGCTTTTGTTTGTTTCACTTAAGCAGAGAATAAAGGGGCCCTGGTATGTGTTTCTGTACAGTGCGCCTCTCAGTGGCCTGGGGAGCAGTGATGCTGTTTCCAGGCAGGTACCCAAGATCTAGAAAATACACATAGTGAACAGTCCATGATGAGGAACCAGAGGGAACTACTCTGCCAGGTTCCTGACCCAAATCCTGCATCTCACCTCCTTGCTAAGCTCCTAAAGATGGGGAAACTCTTACCCAAATGCCACTGCTCCAGCAATAGCCAATCCCAGGGCTGCAGATTTCCCCCGTCCTCGGGCAGCAGTGAGTGCCACGGTACTCCTTAGGGTCTTCTCTGAGATCCCTTCAATGAATTTCAAGACAGCTTTGGCCTGTGCAAAGGGCAACATTATTAAGTGAGTTCCAAGGAAGGCTCCAGGTTCAGTTTCTTATGACCATCCCCATGGAGAGGTTAGGCTGATGCCACACCTAACCAAAACAGCCAGAAAGCACTGGTCAGCACCTACACGTCTCACTCCCTTGGCTAGCTCATCAGCTTTATCAAGGTCAAAAAATACCAAACAAGGGGCTGGAGAGATGGCTCAGTGGTTAGGAGCACTGGCTGCTCTTGCAGAGGGCCCAGGATGGGTTCCCAGCACCCACTCGGCATCTAATAACTGTCCACAACTCCAATTCCAGATCTGATACCCTCTTCTGGACTCTGCAGGCATTGCATACATGTGGTATACGTACACACATGTAGGCAAAGCACTCATAAAAATAAAAATAAATTTAAAAGATTTTTAATTGTGCATTATGTGGGGAAGGGAAATGTGTGCACATGAGTATAGTTGCCTACCACGGCCAGAAGTGTCAGGTATCCTGGAGCTTGAGGTAAAAGTGGTTATGAGCCTCCTGATGTAGGTGCTTGGAACTGAACTCAGATCCTCTACAAGAACAGCAAGTGTTCTTAACCACTGAACCATCTCTCCATCCCCAAAATACTTTTTAATTAAAAAAAAAAAATGCTTCAGTCTCTCAAGTTTCCATCTCCACTGCAGGCCTCTTCCTCACACTCATAGGTACATGCAACTATTCCTCTACAGCTTCACTTGTAACAAAGGCATCTCAAACTTGAAGTTGGTATCAAATGATCCCCTAAACCTCTGCCTATTATCTTCCCCACCTCAATTTAACCATCAAATTCTCTGTGCCAAACATGTCCTCAAGTTTCTCCCCCAGCCCTGATCCATCAGTAGTTCCCATCAATGACAGCTTCAAGAGAGTCCTCTCCAGTCCTCTCCCACTTGGCTCACTGTCACACTTCCTATGCTTCCTCCATCGTCTTCCTATATCAGCGTACAGCCCACCACAGCCTACAGTCAGCTCAGCAGCCAAAGGATCCTTTCATAAGCCTGGAGATGCCTCTGTAGCTGTGCTGAGAAGACATGTACAAAACCTTCCACTGACCCCATCTCTCATACCACAGCCCTCCCAGTAGCCTGTGACAACTACCCCTCCTCCCAGCTGCTAAGCTTCCCTGCTGGTCCCAAAGCATCCCAACTGTACTCCTACAGGTCTTTGGGTCCTCACCCTCAGAGAGCCATGGGGCTCATTAGGCTTTGTTCAAATATTTCTTCTAATATGCCACCCTTGTACCTAGAACCCTCATAGGGACATACCCTAGTCTTCTTGGCCACCTTTCTTTTTCTCTGGTCTACACAGCACTTTCTACTAAACCATATGATCGGCTAATTTCCTCCATGTACAGTCTGCCTCATCCCACAGCGGACAAACTCTGAGGACATGACCTCATTCACTGCCCAGCATTTAGCAGAGTGCCTGGCACCTGGAGGGGGGAAGGCCAGCGGCACTAAATGGGAGGCACACTACCACTCAGGGCCAAACCTGGATCCCCAGCTTAGATCTGAACTAAGACTAGATCTCCGAGACTGGGAAGAAAGCCATGCCTGTTTAGGCCTGAGGAACATGTCTTGCTCTTGAGGTGGTGACACTAAGATGCAGGCCCAGCTGTATGGATGGAGGTGCTTAGAAAGCCAGAGCCTCTTCAGATGGAAACACTCAAAGGGGATCCAGGTTCTAGTTGTACTAACTTGACCTTTGCTGAACTACATTTCCCTAATTATAGGATAGAGAAATTAACTAGACTACAATATGTTCTATAAGAATTATTCAAAATAAAAGTCTAACAATGAAAAAAAATACAATTAAATAAGTGGAAAGATATGAACAGACTTGATCATCAAAAGGGAAAACAAAATCAGGGATGAGCATCAATCCTCTCACAATAATGTCAATTAAAATAATGACCAGATGTTCCCTATCAGATTAGGAGAGACAAATCTACCTATACTGTAGTCAAGGCAGGCAGAGAATGGCATTCCTGCACTATCGGTAGCTCTAACAACTAGTGGAACACCCACTTTAATGCACACAACCTCTGATCCAGCAACTCCTCTTTCTGAAATTTATCCTAGATATAATGCCACAGATCTATCTACGAATATGTCCTAATGGTAAGAAAGAATTTCTTGAAACAGACTTTTGCTATATTTAACCCAGGCTGGCCTCGGAACCCATGATCCTCCTGTCAGCCATTGGACAAGTGCTGGGATTATAGGCGTGCATTATCACACCTGGCAGTACTGTTTACAACAGCGAAACAACTGGACTCAACCCAAATGTCACTTCTGTAGTTTGCTAACGTGTACCTTTTTGTACTTTACTGGTTTGTTTTGCACACCTTCTCTCCCTTTTTATATATATTTTTTATTATTTTTACTTTTGTGTATGAGTGTATTGCCTACTTGTGTATAAATGCACTGAGAGGTTAGAAGAGGGCGTCAGAGTCCCTGAAACTGGAATTACAAATAGATGGTTGTTAGCTGTCATGTGGGTGCTGGGAATTGAACCCAGGTCCTCTGCCAAGAGCAGCCAGTGCTCTTAACCGCTGAGCCATCTCGCCAGCCCCATCTCTCCTTTTTTTTAAAAAAAAAAAAAAAAGATAGGGTTTCATGTATCCCAAGTTGGCCTTGAATTCACTACGTAACCCACCCAGGATGACTGTGAACTTCTAATTCTCCTGCCTTTAGCTCCCAAGTATTAGGATTACAGGCATGCATCACCATGCCCTGTTTACGCAGTGTGGATAAAGTCCAGGGCTTTGCGCATACTACACAAATACTCTACTGACTTGAGTTACGTCCCCAGCCTCCTTCCCCCCCTTTTATGGGGGAGGAGGGGGGAGTCAAGATTTCACTATGCAATCCAACCTAGCCTGAACACACGGCAATTCTCCTGCTTCACCTTCCCAAGTGCTGGACAAGAGGCACATGCCACCCTTCCAGGACTTTTCTTTAACATACATAACGTAATTCCTAGTGCTGTCACTTCTATTCCTGTCCCTCATTCCCTTTCACGGTGATAAAGAAGGCACCAGGCAGGAATAGTTCAAAACAACTTAGAGGCTGCAATCTGGCCTGCATACAAAACTATGAAGCTTATAATTATGCTTCCAGAATGAAAAGGGAAGCCAGACTAATTAGAACTCAGTCCTGAGTGGCACTTGTCACTCAGCTGTTGTCTATCAGGAGGGAAGAGTCCTGGGCTTCATACCTGACCAAGGCTGGGCCAGAACTCTGAATATATCTTGCAGCTTGAAGGCCTTGGGACTATGCTAATCAGTACCCACCCTGGCCCAGAAGCCACTGGAGAAGCCAAGTTTACCACCTGTTCACCTCAACAGACACAGAAATATCTTGGTAATTCCCACCCAAAATGCTGTTAGCACACCCTCACATCAGGTTTACATTGGAACAGATATCAGTAAAAGAGGCCTGAAATTTTCCTCTCTCTTCTATATAAGTTCTAGGCATCAATTTAACTGAAATTAAGAACACATCCTCTCGGATAGGCTAAGGCTGAGATCCCAGCAGACAGCCTGAGAGGGTGGGCTCCAACCTCCATCACTGTAGCAGCTGTGATCCCAGCACACCACCAGAGAGTGCTGGGTCTGGCCTCCCTCTGGCATAGGGGCTAAGAACACAGGGGACTGCCTGAGAGCGTCCAGATCCTGCCTCCATGTGGTGATAAGAATTATGCAATTTGGGAGTCTTTTAGATAGAGGGGTACTCCAATTGCCTCATCCTGCATCCCTGTTCAACATGGAACCCAGAGCAGTCTGCGTCCCAATTCCCTATCCGCAAGTTGGGTAACCTCTTCAGAGGATGGTGTGATAAGAATAGGAGGTAGGAATTGGCTAGGCAGTTAGGGTAAAAAGACCCCAAAGAAAAGTAGCCAGTTTCTTGGCTTAAACTCACAATGTCCTTGGGCCTCTTTGCAACATACTCCATTCCGAAGGCCAAAAATGTCAAAAGTATTTGGAAGCTTTTATCTAATCAAAAGATTTTAGGGTTACCTCTTCAGAGGGGGGAATATTAGAGTAGCCAAAAGCCCCATAAAAAAATAAAAGAGGGGCTGGAGAGATGGCTCAGCGGTTAAGAGCACTGACTGCTCTTGCAGAGGACCCGGGTTTGATTCCCAGCACCCACATGGTGGCTGCAAACCATCCCTAACTCCAGTCCCAGGAGAATCTGAAGCCCTCTTCTGAACTCTGCCACACGGCATGACACGGGTACACTCACATAAATGTGAGCAATGCACTCATGCACATGAAATAAAAAAAATAAAATATTAAACGAAAGAAAGAGTACATGAAGTTATCAGAAAAAAGTGATGGGGAGATATGGGAGGAGTCCTCTTTAATCTCTCCCTCTCTCCAGACTACCACTCACTGGCTATGTTTGTGAGCCCAAACAACACAGAACGGCCTTGATGTTGTGGAGCATGCAAGAATGTGAGCCAGAAAAAGGCCCCACTCCCAGGAGGAGTGAACATGTCCTAACCTGGGTCCGGTTGCTTTTTAAATATTTATAATTTTTTTATTTTATGTGTATGCATGTATTGCCTCGCATGTAGGTAAGTGCACCCATGTGGTACAATGCCCACGGAGGACAGAAGAGGCTGCCATGTGGGTGCTGGGATATGAACCCAGATCCTCTGCAAGAGTAGTCAGTTGCTTTCTAAGTATGCAGGAAGTCTTACCCCTGCACTGTCAACATTAGGGTGGGGAAGTTCTGAATTCACACATACCTGGTCTAGTGTCTTGCAGCAGTCCACCAACACACCAACAGGCTGAGTGTCCTGTAGGCTCTCTTTCAACTCCTGAAGCTCCAGAGCAGAAGGACTGAGATTCTCATCCTACCAGCAAAAGGAGGAGGTTTGCCCCAGCATAGGTGATCATGTGGAAATTACACCTTTACCCTAGCAGATCCTTGTTCCCCTCACCCAGACTCACCGGAGCCTGTGGAGGTAAGGCCTCAATGGTGGCCACATGGGAGGAGATGGGCAGAATGTTGAGCTGGTCGTCAATGACCAGACACTTCTTACAAGATGCCAGAGAGAGAATAAACCTGAGGGAAAAAGCCACTGCAGTGAGGGGATGGGGAGGGCAGGCAATGCCTACATGAATGTAAGATTTCTTCAGGAAAATCATTCATCTCCAAGTCTCAGAACTGAGCTGGAGAGCAGTGAGATGTTTCAGCCTCTTCTGTAAGTCACCTGAACAAGCTTATAAGGCAATCAGGAAAACCCAGAACCCAAGGATCTCTACTGTGAACAATCACCATCGCTCCTGGGTCATTTAGCCTATCCCCCATCCAAAGCTCCTTAGCAATAAGGCAGTTCTGACTTCAAACCCCAAGCCATCCCAAGCCGTATACGCATGCCAGTCACACAGGGAAACAAACACATACACAAATAAATTTACCTGTCACAAAAAGAAAGCTCCATCAAAAAAAAAGTAACATACATTGCCAGGTGTGGTGGCTCACGCCTTTAGTCCCAGCACTTGGGAAGCAGAGGCAGGCAGATCTCTGTGAGTTCCAGGCCAGCCTGGTCTACATAGTGAGTTCCAAGCCAGCTGGAGCTACAGGGAAATAATCCTGTCTCAAAAAGACAAAAAAACAGAAAACAAAAAAAACAAAAAGGAACATATTTCTTGCATAAAGGAAAATAAAACATGACTTATTTATACAGTTCAAACATCTTCCATACATGCTTGCAAGAAAAGAGCCTCAGGGCTAGAGAGATGGCTCAGTGGTTTCAGACTGCTTGCTGCTCTTCCAGGGCACTTGAGTTGGGTTCCTCAGGTGGCACAAACAACAACCTAGACTCCAGCTCCAGGAAATCCAATGCCCTCTTCTGGCCTCTGACAGCACCAGCACACATATGCACATTCACACAATGTACACAAACAAAATCTTTTTTTAAAAAAGGCGGGGGGGGGGGATGGGACGGACGACTGAAAAGATGGTTTAGTGGTTAAGAGCACTGGCTGCTCTTGCAGAGGCCCCAGGTTCGGTTCCCAGTATTTACATGACAGCTAACAACCATTCCTAACTCCAGTTCCAGGGGAATTCGACACCCTCTTCTGACCTCTGAGAGCATTATACGACATAGGTACACTTAAACACATGCAGGTAACATACTCATACACATAAAAGAGCCTCATTTCTATGCTCACAGGCTTCTGTTCTAGTGGTGAGCACACTCCTTCTGCCCTCATTCTACTCAAAGCATCACAGGTTGTTCAAGCAAGAAAGAACCTAGGCTCACTAAGGCCAAGAGAATTTTTTCTTAAATATTGCAGTGTTACCCTCAAGAAAGGTAACTTTATTAAAATAAAGGACATAGGTAACAGAGAACTTGGCATCACCAGCACAGGAACATTATCCCTTGATAAACTATTAGAAGTTAAGATTTTTGGCTTGCTTTATCTTCCAAGGAGATGATCAGTCTTGCATTTCATCATCACTTGCCCCTCCTTAAGATTTACTCTTGAAAACTGTACCTCATTTCCAGGAAAGAATTTCTAAACCTCAGCAGTACTGACATTTGGGACTGGAGAGTTCTTTGTCACGGAGGCTGTGCTGTACACTGGGGGTTTTCAGGAACACCCCTGGCTTCTGAGTCCTCAAGCCAGTGGCACCCTACCCCACCATCCTCAGAGTCATGGTGGTCAAAATATATGATGCTCCTAAATCTTCCTAGAGGACAAAGAGATACTCCCAGCAAAAACTACTGATACCAAAGCTTCAAGTGTTTAACAGGTTTCACAGGTTACTAACTGGTGGTCCTTAAAAGAAGGAGCTCTGTGGTAAAATAAATGTGGGAAACAGTTAAATGGGTCCTAGCTACTAAAAGGCATTTCAGAGGCTCCAACAAACTAACGTGAGTCTTCACAAAGGAAAAGTGAAAGCATTTCCCAGGCTCATCTAACCAGAAAACTCTACCGGCATGAGGTCCCTCTCAAAGACTAGAGTTCTGGGAGATGTACCTTCTGGGAAACGGTAACCCAGATAAACCAACCCTTTGAAAGAAGAATACACTAAAAGCCAAAGAAGAGAGGGAGCAGTTAGGCCACCAAACCAGCCAGCAGCAAGACAGAGTGCAACCTGTCCTGGTTCCAACCTCTCAGCCCTGCACTGCACCAGCTAGTTTCACAGGTGTAGCTGCTGCCAGAATCTCACTGTTAGCTGGTAGTGTGGTACACACCTGTAAATCTAGCACTTGAGAGGCCAAGGCAAGTGGGTCCCAAGTTTGAGGCCAGTGTAAGATACATAGTGAGACCCTGTTTCAAAACTAAACAAACTTCACTATTTCGGAAGCCTGTACTACATCTTTCTAATACAAAAACAAAGCTCTCAGTAGAGTCCAAGATAACCATTTCTCCCCTTCTGACTGGACCTATAAACTTACCTCTCATTAAACCTTCCCACCACATCTTGATGGGCCTCAGTCCTGTATCTGGAATGCACATCCTAAGAAAGCAAGATAACATCCATTGAAAAAAATCTTCTGAAAAGCAACATGAAGTTCTATCTGAGAAGACATCAGTATATCTGCTAGAAATAAAATCCCCTCCTACCTGCTGTACTGGGACTGCATCAGACACCAGTGCATGAACTGGCCAGATGCTCTGCACTGGGACTGGGTCAGACACCAGTGCAAGGTTTCCTGCCCCAGTAACCTCCTCACCTCATGATTGATGCTTCCCTCATTTCATCCAGCAGTATAACTCAGTTAAATGTACAGGCCAACCAGGGTATGTACACGTACACCCTGTGTACACGCACACAGGGTATACAATGGTGAATTAACATGAATCTGTTTGCAAGGAGCTTAGAGTCTAACGGCTAAAGGTAAATGAGATTATTATTTTCAAATGCTACAAATGAATAGGGTATGGTGGGAGGAATGAGGAGACCCAATGATTTAAGGCGGTCAGGGAGGGCTTTCCAGAGATGATAAGCTGAGACTGGAAACAGAAGCAGGTATCCGAGAGAGAGCGAATAAATAATGTCAACACAGTCATTCACTCACAAATATGTAATGAGTGCTTCATACATGCCAAGTGAATAAAATTAAGTCCCTGCTCTCATAAAGTTTAGCAATTGGTACAAAGGATGGGCAGAATAAAATAAGTGACATTGGGTAGTAGGTGCTTTGAAGAAACATGAAGCAGGTTAACAAGCCACAGATGGAGTCCCCTGCTCTAAAAAGGGTATGATGGCTAGTCATGGTGGCTTACACCTGGAATCCCAGCAAGTTGGAGAAGGAAGATAAGGGGTTCAAGGCCATCCCTAGCTACATCGTGAGTATGAGAGCAACCTGGGATACAAGAGACCCTGTCTCACAAGCCAAACTAAATAAACATCTATAAATAAATAAATAAATACATAAAGTGTGAAGAAAAATCACAATGATGAGGGGATACTGGAGCAAGAATTCAAGTCATGCAGATATTCAGGGGAAGTACATTGCAGAACACATATAAAGTGCAATAGCCTTGGAATGAGAGTCCCGGGCATGTCTGAAGGATCAGAGGCTGCAGTGGCAGGTGATGGTAGGAGTGGGAGTGAAGCAGCCTCACCAGAAACACAGTTCGTCAGATTCCAAGGCTGGTCCTAACACCATTCCTGAGTTACTAGGCTCTGGGTATGACTTAAAGCCTGACCCTCAGAAGAGCAACCAATAAGAGTCAGCAGACTAGCTCTACACCAGGTTTTGCTACCCGCTCTCCACAGGTGGTGAGGGGTAGACCTAGCACCCATAGTTGAAATTCTTGCCAGACTCAAAGTAGAACTAACAAATGTTACTGTGGTCCCTTGGAAGATGAAGGCCAATGAGGAGATCTGCACATTGTCCCTCGGTGCAAAACACAAATTTAGCCCGTGGTGGTGCACACCTATAATCCCAGAGCTCAGGAGGCCGAGGCAGGAAGAAGGGTTCAAGGTCCGTCTAGACTACAAAGTGAGATCTTGTCTTATAGAACAGAACAAAAACAAAAAAGCTGCATGTATCCCAATCTTATCAGTGTAGAATTGCAAATGCCTCAAAACAAATGTGAAAGTTAGAAGTTCCTAGTCATATGTGGAGCTCCCAAGATCCACTTGCAGAGATGGTAAAGTCAAAGAGCTTCAGTCAGAGGCCATGCAGACCACTCGGTGAAGGTGCCCACCAGGAAATTAACAGAAGCAAACTAGAGCAAAAACAGACTGCTTTGAATGAAGTTTAAAAAGCACTCTTACCATGGTCATTGTGTACAACTGCTTAAGTGAGTTCATGGTCCGTAGGAGGATAACCACCAGCCCACCGCCTTCTACTGTTTCTACAGTTCTGGCAAGCAAGTTCGGAGTTAAGGCTTCGAAATCCTAGGAGACAAAGGCCTTAGATAGGGCTAGTTACACAAACAGCACTTCTAGGATACTTAACCAAGGATCAAATGATAAGGCAACTAGGGCTTCAGAACATAAAACAAAACCATCTTTCCCACACCTGCTCACAGAAAAATTCTTGTAGCCTGACTTAAAGGGACCGCAGGAGATAGCCCAGCCTCAGGGTAGATCTGGTAATTGTATGTTAAAAATGTTTCTACTATTCTAATAAAATCCCATTTAGAGCCAGGCATGTGGCATACGTCTTTAATCTCAGCACTTGGGAGGCAGGGGTAGGCAGTTATCTGCAAGTTCCAGGTCAGCTTGGACAACAGGGAGACCCTGACTCAAAAAACCAAAGCAAAACAAAACAAAAATCCTATTTAGAAGCAAGTCTTCCAAACTTCACTGATTTACACTCAAATTTCAGAAACATCCTATATTCATTTCCTGAATATGAATGTGTATAGATTCAATCTGACAAAATTAAACTACACCACATGGGGGAGCTCCTGCCCAAAAAAGCCATCATGCCAACAACTGGTAGCAGCTGGGGCAGAACACACCTATCAATTAGTGAGGAAGCCAAAGGATTCCCCAAAAGTGGAGATTGAGGCAAAATGTTCTTTCTTGCCTCGCAGATGGGCTGGAAGCCAACAGCACACAAAACAACTCACTAGAAATGCAAAAAGAAAAAACTGAGGACTTCCATTCTTGAGCTCATTTTTAATTTACATTTTGTGAGGCATTTTATAATTTACATACTCATGTTCACAGTAAGTGAATATAACAAATACAAGGACGTACGGACTTGTGTGCAAACTTTTTTTTTTAATCATTTTAAAAGGAGCTAGAGTCACAGGTATCAAATATTCAAATTCTGTAATAAAGAACACAGAACTGAAAACAAAAATGAAAACCATGGTTAACTGACTTGCCTGGCAAGAGGAGAAATTCAACAAACTGTTGTTCTCGAAAGGGAAATAAGGGGTCTTTAAGGGCTAGAAAGTGGGTGGGGGAGCTTGCGGAGTCATGTTGCTCAGAAAAGGATGTGAGTGGCTTGCAGGTCAGGTGTATACAATTGGGACCAAGACTCACAAGAGCCTTTAGCAAATGTCAGCAAGGACCTGGGATTCTAGAGCCATTCCAAGTTCCCACTACTGGGGGGTGGGGGGGAATTTGTTTGTTTCCTTTTAAAAGACAGAATCTCACTAGGTAGCCCAGACTGGCCTCAAATTCATAATCCTCCTGCACCCCAAGGTCTGAGACTATAGGCAACACTAGCCAATACTTGCTTTAACAGCTTTAGTGGATCAGAACAAACTGTGATGGTATCTGCCATTTCTAGACAAGTGCAGAAAACGTGTATAGGGTGAGTAACCCAGTTTCCTTTACAAAGTGGTCACATTTTCCACTAGTAATACTTGGGGCAGGGGAGAGGTGCTACATGTGAAACTCCTCTTACTGTATTCTTCTTCTCACTGGGGAAGTAAGCAGTCCAAGTCCCCTCCCCAGACCTCTGCAGTGCCCAGGTTAGACGAAGTCACCCACCTGGAGGACACACATGCCAAAAGTATTGCCCAGGATCTTGTGGGTTTCATTGTAGTAGCAGTAGCGAATGTTGGTAGCTGCGACAAAGAGCTCGAAGGGGTCATCTTGCTTTATGTTCAAGGTTCCGCTCTTTATTTTCTTCTGTAACTGCCGCATTCTCTTCTTCCGGTGACTGTAATAACCCCAGCTCATGACAGTCAGTTAACCAGAGGCAAGAGGGGAGAGGCTCAGTGATCCCCTCAGGCCTGCAGAGCTATTGGAAACTTGGGAGGGGAGGCTGTCTCCTTCACTTTTAAAGGGAAAAAAGTAGAGAAGCACTGTAATGCAGTGGGTTAAGATAGGGCTTGTGGGCCAGTAAGCTGGTTCAGTGGCTAATGGCACTCTCCATGCAAGCCTGACAACGCATGTTCAATCCCTAGATACTACATAAAGGTGGAAAGAAAAAACTGACTTCACAAAATGGTCCTCTAACTTCCACACAACCTCTGACCCACACATGTGTGTGTGCGCGCGCGCACACACACACACACTTTGGAGTAGGTAATGAGCATGTACAAACTATTCCACTCTTATGCTGTGACCTTAGGCAGATATCTTACTTTGAGATGAGCAACAGAAGCAGCTAAACCTCCTATTTGGTCACAACTAAAGCGTAAAACCAAGCCTAGGTGGCTTCGTTACCTTAGGTCTGAAAATAATGCTTCCACTACACTGTGCTGCTCCCCGAAGAGCCTGGGAAAGGTGAGGTGCTGACAGGTTACTACATTCATGTTTCTTAGACAACTTAATCTACTGCCCTGTCCAGAGTGTTGGGGTAATGTTCTCAAAAATAGTTCTTCTCTAAGAAAGTAATGATAAAAAGACTGGGGTGGGAGCTAGACATCCCTGAGAAATTCCTGAACCAGTCCTGGTGCTAAAGCCCCAAGAGCCAACTGCCACTTATTTGTGCTTTACAAGACAACCTAAGAGCTCCAGAATGGTGGTGGCTTCCAGCTGTGAACTTTAAAACAGCTTCTGTTACCAGCCTGGAACTAGCCTAGCAGGCTAGGCTGGCTAACCAGTGACCACGAGGGATCCAACTGCCTCTGCCCTTTTCAGCAGGGGTTGAGGGGGGGTGTTTTCAACTACCTGTCACCTTGCCTGGCTTTTTTAAAAACACAGGTTATGAGGGTGATACTTATGTCATCATGCTTACAAGGCAAACCAAACACTTTACCAGCTGAGCTACACCCCAGCCCTAGCTGAGGAGAATTTTACAACTCCACTCTAACCAAGAACCAAGACCCTTCCCAAGGACCAAGAAGGGTTTCTACTTTCTATGTGACCTGGATGAGGTCCTCCTTCTGGCTCCCTTCTTAAGCCCTTGATTTCTAAGGCACTGTTGTGAAGATCAACAGTGTTTCTTGTGCTGGGAAAGACATAAGAGGTACAGAACAAATTCCCCAACCTCCTTCGTTTTTTGGCTGCCTGATTTCACACCAATCTCACATCTACTAAACAAAAAACACTGTGAGTCAGAAGCCTCAAACAAAATTCTAAGATAGGCAGCTAGCCTCATTCTCCTTCTGTTTTAAAAATCTATGAAGGGGCTGGAGAGATGGCTCAATTATTAAGAGCACTCGCTGCTCTTGCAGAAGTTCAATTCCCAGCACTGACATCAAGCAGCTCACAACCACCTATAACTTAAGTTCCAAGGAAATCTAAAACCCTCTCTCACCTTTGCGGCCTCCTGTATGCATATGGCGCAAATACAGACAAGCAGGCACATACACATAAATTTTTCAAAAATTATTTCAGTAGGGCATGGTGACAAATGCCTTTAGCATTCAGGAGGAAGAGGCAGACAGATCTCTGGGAGATAGAGGACAGCCTGCTCTACATAGGGAGTTCCAGGCCAAAAGACCCTGTCTCAAAAATCCAAAAACAAAGAAAAAAAAATTGTTTTAAATGCATGGATCTGGGGCCATAGGTAGCTCAGTGAAAGAGCATGTGCTTTCGCGTGCTTGGTAGAAACGAGGCATGGGTTTAGTCCTTAGCATCCTCAAGAAACGAACAGGAATGCTAACCTGTTCAATTATGTAGCACAATAAAAATATCAATTATGGCTCAAAGTTACACGCCCAGGATACCTACCTAAGGATGTCTATGTGGTAAGATTATGGGTGCTTCTTATTTTCATCTTTGTGTTTTCTGCATTTCCAATGTAAAATATTTTTTTAACTTCTTTACAAGATCAAATTACTGAAAAAAAATCTGGTTACTTTTAAGCAGAATAAAGGTTCTTTAAGATAACTTTTAGAATCTGTTACAATAAACCCAACTCTACAAATATTAACTTAGTACCTGACACAACATGGTAGATAATTCAAAAGAAAGAAAATAGGGTCAAGCCAGGTGTCTCGGCACTTGGGAGACAGAAGCAGGTGGATCTCTCTGAGTTCAAAGCCAGCCTGGTGTGCCTGGTGATTTCCGGGCCAGCTGGGGCTACAGGGAGACCCTGTCTCAAAAAGACCAAAAAGAAAAGAAAACCGGGTCAGTGCTGGCTCAGCAGGTAGAAGAGCTTGCCATGCAAACCTAAGAGTGATCCCCAGGTTCCACAGTGGAAGGAAAGAACTGACTCCCAAAGGATGTCGTCTGGCTAACACGTGTGCTATGACACATCCATGCCCATCATTTTACCTACACACATACACACAATACAAACACACAATGATAATAATAAATAAAATAATTTTGAAGTGAGAAAACAGAAAATGAGAGAAAACATCTAACAAAATGAGCTTTATCACCTGGAAGGAAAACAAAAAAAAAACAAAAAACAAAAAGGTATCCAAGTCACAGCAGTGCTGCAACCCTGGAGGAGACTCCAAGTATGGCTGAGGCGCTCAAGAAAAAGCTTCATGGGGGCTGGAGACATGGCTCAGTGGTTAAGAGCACTGACTGCTCTTGCAGAGAACCCAGGTTCAATTCCCAATACCCACATGGTGGCTAACAACCATCTTTAGCTCCAGTTCCAGGGAATCTGATTCCTCCTTTCTGACCTCTGTGGGCACTGCACGACATGGGTGTACTTACACGTGTGCAGGCTCATACACATAAAAATAATAAATAAAATATTAGTCCCAGCACTTAGGAGGCAGAGGCAGGCGGATCTTTGTGAGTTCAAGGCCAGCCTGGTCTACATAGCAAGTTCAGGTCAGCTGGAACTACAGGGAGACCCTGTCTCAAAAAAGACGAAAGGAAAGGAAGAAAAGGAAGGAA